TCAACCTGGGCTGAAGTGGTGGTCCGTGGCTGCAAGAGAGGCTCGGATGGGGCTGCCTCTCCTCCACACATCGGCCTCTCCAACCGCTATGCAGCCCTGTCTAACAACACTCGTTAGACGGCTTCGAGTCTCCCTGATATGGATCTCTTTCGGCGCACAGTGCCTGCCGACACTGTTGCATCTCCTCCACCGGCTACATCTCCTGCACTGGGCCGTCGGTCTGCCGCAGAGGTTCCTCACCAGCAACAAGAGAGTTTTAACCAGTTTTATCCCATCGACTTGTCTGAGCTTTTGAAAACAGTATCACAAATGAGAGTGTCCTCCAGCCCACTTGATGTAATACCTACAAAATTTTACTGAAAGTAATAGATTCTGTTGGGCCCCATTTGATCTCTGTTTTCAACAGCTCCCTATCTACTGGTTGTGTCCCTGATTATTTTAAAATGGCTTGCATGAACCCACTTTTAAAGAAACCTGGTTTAGATCCCTCCCTCCCACATAATTTTAGACCAATTTCAAAACTGCCTTTTATTGCAAAGATTCTAGAAAGAATTGTGTCCAAACAGCTGCTCACTGTGCTGGAAAATAACAAAATATTTGAAACGTTTCAGTCTGGTTTTAGGAAGTACCACAGCACTGAGACTGCCCTGCTTAAAGTCATCAATGACCTTTTAATGTCTGCTGATGAAGGCATGTGCTCAGTCCTGGTACTCCTGGACCTTAGCGCTGCTTTTGACACCATTGATCACAACATCATGTTAGACAGACTGAGGCACTGGGTGGGGATCTCTGGTACTGCCCTAGAATGGTTTTCATCCTACCTGTCAAATAGGAAGTTTTGTGTGTCTGTAAACAACTATGACTCCTCATTCTGTCCAGTTAAATATGGTGTGCCTCAGGGGTCGGTCTTAGGACCCATTTTGTTTTCCTTGTATCTGCTTCCCCTTGGACATATTATCCATAAACATGGCATTTCTTTTCATATTTATGCTGATGACACACAAATATACTTGCCCGTCAGATCCACAGACCCTGGAATGCTGAGTTCACTTAACAACTGCCTTTGTGAAGTTAAAAAATGAATGTCAAATAATTTCCTCCAGCTGAACTTAGACAAAACAGAAATCCTGGTCATCGGGTCTCAGCAGATGGCAAATCAAATACTGCCATCTGCTGGTTCGCTAGTAAATCACATTAAGCCTGTGGCAAAGAACCTTGGTGTTTGGTTTGATAGTAATTTAAATTTCGAGCAGCATACCACAAAGCTTGTTCAATCATGTTTTTATTAACTTAGAAATATAGCAAAAATTCGATCTATGTTAACTTTTAAGGACACCGAGACCATTTTACACACCTTCATCTCATCACGCCTGGATTATTGCAACAGCCTTTTCACCTGTTTAACCCAAAAATCTATTGATCGACTCCAGACTGTCCAGAACTCAGCTGCCAGGCTTTTAACCAGAACAAAGAAATATGACCACATTACTCCTATTTTAGCTTCATTACACTGGCTCCCAGTATGTTTTAGAATTGACTTTAAAATTCTATTGATCACTTTTAAAGCTCTTCATGGCCTCTCGCCTTGTTATATTTCTGACCTTTTAGTCCCATACGCACCAGCACGTACCTTGAGATCCTCGGGCAGAGGTCTGTTGTCTGTTCCAGAGTCTCGACTGAAAACTAAAGGGGACAGAGCGTTTGCTGTCAGGGCCCAGAGGCTCTGGAACAGCCTGCCCGAGGAAATCAGGTCGGCTGAGTCAGTGAACTCTTTTAAGTCCCTTCTTAAAACATGCTTTTATAGGAGAGCCTTTCCCGATCTTATTTGACTTTATTTTATCCCTTTTATTTTATTGTATTTTACTAATTTTATATTTATCTGTATTTTAGTCTTTTCAATGTTTTCTTGCTTTTAACTTGTATTGTTTTTGTATTATTGTCTCTTGGGTATTATTGTCTTTACACTTGTTAAAGCACTTTGGAACTTGTTTTTGAAAAGTGCTCTACAAATAAGGATTATTATTATTATTCTGCACTGACAGATCCCGCAGCTTTTATACTAACATGAATGGATCAATTGAGCTGCCATCAGATGTGGATGCTCACACTGAACATAAACACGGAACCCCATGTCGGTTCTGTACATTGACCATTCCAATAAATGTTTATTCGGCATCCTTAATGTTAACAAAAAGAAAGAAAGGTAGCATTACTTTGTGCCTATTATGAATGGAAAGTAAGAAGACAAAGAAAAATACTGAGCTGCAAATTGCTGGAAGATCGTCTGGACTGCCAGAAATCCATCCGTTAATCCGAGAGCCAGATCTCTGATGGTTCAGGCAATTACAGGCAAAAGCCTCAAACAACCACCATTCTGGCAGAAATTATAGATTTATTTTGGGCGCAACCAATTTGTGGCTACTAAGAAGAAGTGTCAGGATGTGTGGTGTGGTTGAGCAGGTAGGTGGACCCAAATGCAGGACACAGAGCGGAGCAGGTACAGTTCAGAGGATTTATTAAAGCAACACAAAGCGAGCACACTTTAAAACTGATTGGCTGAGTCCAAGTAATCCAAAAGAATAAACAATCCCAACGAAACAGGTAATCCAACAGAAATAATCCTACGGGGTACAGATCCAGGACAGGCAGGGCAGAACAGAGCAAAACTACACATGACATGAGACAGAGCAACAAACAAGCTACAAACCACTACAATGACCCAACAAGGACTGAGGGAAACAAGCAAGCACATATACACACACAGGGCTAATGACAGGCAGGCAGAGAGACAGCAGGGAAAACAGAGAGACAGGCAGGCAAAGAAACACAGAACTAGAAGTAAATACTAAGACATGAGCTAAGGCACAGGACCAGGAACTAAGACACCGAACTAAGAACTAAGATAAGGCACAAGACAGATACTAAGTAAACTTAAACATGCGAATGAATACAATAATAAACAAGGCTACACAGAGAAACACAAGACAGGATTGTGACACTAAGTCTGAAGGCCTACATTAGTCTACATTACTATTACCGTGCTGATCTAATCAGCATGGTAATATTGTTTTAGCTTTTACATGTTTAGCTTTCAGGTAATGTTTACCTTTCTTACTTAGTTTGGCGGATCAGCACACCAACATTTGCTAATCAGCACTTGCACAAATTACAGCTGATGCTGATGAGACGTACTTTTGCGAGAATTTAGTTATAAATTACAGTATTGGGAGTATTGTTTTGTGGAGAGCCACATACATAGGTTATGTAGAAATGTACAAAAACACAGTAGATACATTCTTCAGGGATGTATCTTGTTGCTAAAGGTGAAAGTGAAATTTTGTCTTGATATTGACATTAGATGAAATGCTAGGGGACCACCAAAGTTATTCCAACTCATGCTGCTTGCATGACTAAAAACCATTTGACAAAGGTGAAACAAATATTGCTTATCCTTTTCCATGATATTTGAATACTTTGGGGAATATAGATTAAAACATCAGTATCAAGATATTGTTGTGATACATAAACAAATCTAAGACTAACAAAAGATTATAGGAGGTGAAGTCTGCAGCTTCCTCTTCACAGGTCTAGAAGGACAAGCCAACCACAAACAACACTTTGATCATTGACACCTTTGCATTTGTGGCATTGTGATCTGTTTCACACCTTTTCGGTGAATATGTATTGCTGTTTAAGACTGCTGCACTTTGCATCAAGATCCAAAAGTACATAGAGGTACATAGACTATTAAAAGATGGTTCTTGTTACTAACCATAATTAAATTAAGAGGAAGGAAGTGAAGTTCAGAGCTGCATGCTGTGTATTCACCACCACAGATCAACAGTCCTCTTCAGCTCTTCTAAGTAGACCGCCATTGATTTTGACCAGAGGTTATAATTTGGAATAATACCTTTTATACAATCACCATTCTGATTAGAAGTGACTACAGCCATGTTGTTGGGAGAAGCTGCGAGCACGGTCATGTTTTTCATCCTGTTTATCTCAGGTATTAATTATTGTTCACTTTATATCCATCACACATTCTTTGTAATTATTAAGTATAAACTAATAAGTAATAATAATAATAACCATGGATCACTTTTACTGTAGTCTATGAGTTTTAATGTTAACAATTAGCAACTCATCTGCTTTAAAAAGGCTGTGGACATCTACAATTTTTTTTCAATTGCTAACATGCAACATTCAAAACTGAAGCCACATTTTTCAAAACTCTTCACATAGTCTGCATTACCACCATGCATCTTGGCCAAACAGTTAATCTCACCTCCAAAAGTCACTCAAACCACCAAAACACTTGGTTGGTTTGAACCAATTCTGCTAAAATACAAGCACATTTCCTGCTTTACACACAGCCTGCAGTTTTACAGTAAAAACACATTCAAAACACTTCATACATATCTCTATGCACATACGTAGATCAATGAACAATGTACATAAAAGTATGTAATGTACATACATTTTTTCAATATTTATCTATCCAGTTACTGCAAATATGCAGGGATATATTTGAATGTGATTTTAACAGCTTTGGACAGTGTGTTACATTTACAAAATGTGCTGCAGATATATAGTGTTTTGCAGGTGGTGAAGTAGTGAAGAGAAAAGAGTTTTTGAGAGAGATTTTGGAGAGAGTGGTCATTGAATGCATTTTGTGTGAAAGAAACGAAAAATAATTTATAGTTTAGACACTTCTGTTTCGCTGACTGTGTAAAGAGTTTTGACAATGTGACTTCAGTTTTGACCAGTGCAGGTTAGCAATTGAAAAAAAAAACTACACTAAACTGTAATTACTTTATAATATTATTATTATTATTCGGTGATTAAATTTTCATGCTCTTATCTTTTTTTTGTATTATTCTTTACACTTGTTAAAGCACTTTGTAACTTGTTTTTGAAAAGTGCTCTACAAATAAGGATTATTATTATTATTATTATTATTAATATAAAGCCATATATTTGTTCCCATGTTAGCTGATATTGGTATTTGGGGACAAGCAACCAGTATCTGTGCCTTAAAAGGCTCATCGGTGGAGCTGCCCTGCTCTGAACATCCCACTTCAAGCAAGACATGGTATACTCTACACTGGGAAGATTACAAAGTTATTCAAAATGAGCTCTCTGAAGACGGACATCGAGTGACATACAACATGTCTGAGGGGAGTAACTTCACTCTAACAATCAATGATTTAAGAGAGACTGATGAAAATGTTTACTACTGCGGAGAGAATTCAGAAAACTCCTGGCACCGAAGAATTCAGCTTTATGTTGCCGGTACAGTGGCTGTCAGTACTTCATTACTTCAAAAATCGTATATTTATATGAAAACTAATTTAGTATACCACTATCCAGACCTGCAGGTAAAGGTTATTCCTGCCACAGAGGGACAGACAGTAACACTGATGTGTAACACCAGCTGTCCTCTGACTGAAAACCCTGCAGCCTACATCTGGTACAGGAACAGAGAGTTTCTCTATCAGGACTGGTCTCCCTGGTACCAACAGCTGGTCAGCAGTGACAAAGCAGTCAGATACTCCTGTGCTATCAAAGGCTACGAGGGTCTCAGAGCCCCTGAAGTCTCAGTGGGTGAGTGACAACATCTAGCTCCTCATCATGTTACAAAAAAAAAAACTGTGAAAAACTGTTGTATTGGCTCAAATAAAAATGCTCAACGCCATCTTTTGGCCCAGATTCTGTTACAACAGCCTGCTTTAGCGTGACCTACGCTAAAGGAAGAATGTGTTTGTATAATCAGAAATCAGAGGATGAGGCATGCTCCATCATGTATCCCAGAGGTGAAGTTTTCTCCACATTCCACACTCCACAAACATTTACAAACACAAATAACACACCTCCTGAAAGACCCCCCCAACCTAAATAAAATACTCGCTACTGGCAAAGTTACTGTTAAATATATTCTGCAGTTTTCAATAATTGTCTCTCAACAGAAATACATGTTCAGAAGACACTTGCAGAGGGCTTTGTCATTCTGACCTGTATCACCAGCTGTCCTCTGACTGACCCTCAAACCACCTATAGGTGGTATCAGAACAGACAATTGCACATATACACTGAGAGTCAACAGTTTTTAGTTTCCCGCTCATCTGATAAAAGACTCTCCTGTGCTTTAAAAGGTCATGAGGATCTGCTCTCGGCTGAAGTCTGTGAGTATGAACCAACTTGGGCAATTTCACCATCTGTGTCAGTTCATATTACTGCAAAGATTCGTTTGGAGTGTATTATTTGTTCATATCCAAATAATGTATTCATATTTATTTATATCCGTAAAAAGTTAATTGGGATTAAACAGTAGATTTTTTTTCAAGTATTTATTTTAAAAACATTTTTTCGTCTATATTTCAGGTACTGAGGATAAAAACTGCTGGAGTGTGAATTATTTCAGCAGGAGAATTTGTGCACCAGAAGGTTCTTCAGTGAGCACTTCAAGTGAATACTCATACCCTGATGACCAGCAACCCAAGTCTAAATTATGGTATAAAATAAAGAGAACTAGTGAGGTGGATGCTGAAAATGTGATTGGGGCTGTAGGTCGTGTGGAGTATCATGACAACATGAAGAATCGCCACATCCTTAAAATTAAAAAGTTGATGAAGAATGACTCGGCAGAATATACGTTCAGACACCAAACAGAAGAAGGAGGACAAAAACAGTCCGATTTACCTGGAGTGACTTTGGTTGTCACAGGTATGTAATTCTCTAGAATAAATACTTGTATGTCTAATTGCCGACAGCTAATATGATCTGTAGCCGGCAACGCTTGTCATTTTAACCAATGATAGCAACAGTCAGTGCTGGCTAAAAATGAGAAGCTGGTGACAAAACACAGTTCAGAAACAGAAGTTCAGTGAAGAAATGATTGCAGTTTGATTTGTTTTAGTTTATACCTGTCTATCAAAATATACCAGGATTAGCCCTGATATAGAAGCTGAGGATTGGTTCGGGACACCTCTATTTATAATGTGTTCCTGACTATAGGTGAGCATACTCAATTGACACAGACATGTTTTGAACTTCCTAATTCTTAAAGAATATTGATGGAGCCAGTAAGTTCTTGTAAACATTCTTGTAAGACTCAACCTTGCAAGATTCCCAGAGAACACCATATCTGCTAGCCTGACGCCTGAGCTACTGTCTCTACCTTATCAGTCTAACTGTTGTCTCCCTAACAAGGACAGTTACATGTGAGAAATATCTAGAGCTGGAAGGTCAGTCAACACTTGTAAGGTCAGCTAATGACTCCAAGCTAGACCTGTCTTACTTTTCCCTGTTACATCAACTAAGCCCCTTAAGAATTAATTGATCTATAGAAGTTTTTTTTCAGGCCTGAGAGTGAAGTTTACTCCTTCTGCAGAGGTGACAGAGGGCCAGAGAGTCACACTGACCTGCAGAACAAGCTGTCCTCTGACTGACAACACAAACTACATCTGGTACTTAAACACACGACCTTTGACCCTGCCAGAGAACCAAAACAAACACTTGGTTCTAGACCCAGTCAGCAGTCAGCATGCAGGAAACTACTCCTGTGCAGTCAAAAACAGCATCAGTTCACATGAAAGGACTCTCACTGTTCAAGGTGGGCATAGTTTTTACTATGAACTGAAATGTTTTTAGGCATTATAGCAGTTTAGCATTTTAAACTCAAGCATTTTAATAGGAAATAAGACATATGCAATACTCTATCTCTCTTTTGTTTAGGGAAATCAATGGCAATAATTAATGCAGTTAGACTGACTATTGCATTAATGATCCCAATTCCTCTACTTCTTTTCCACCTGTGGATGAGGTAAAAGACTTGACAGTCTTCTGTTTAAAGGCTTTTACCTTTACTTGATATAATCAATGTGTCCTTACTGACTAGATGGGTTTGTTTTTAAAAATAGTAATTTGCACTGTCTGAACAAAACACATCCAGGAAGAAGAAAACTCTGACCTCCACTGCTGAGCCTAGTGACCAAGGTAAAAGGTGAGTATAGAATTTGAAAGCTAGAAATTGTCGTATGTGTGTGTTTTCCTCTTGTCATCGTCTCTGTTTTGCAGATGAACTCATAATATGAGAACATCACATTCCTGGTCATGAATCCTGTGACTGCAGCACAGAGACAACCAAAGCAGCAGGAAGACGTGTAATGTCTTTGTTAATTTGGTCCCTTTTGGACAGGGATCTTTTGAGCACTCGTTACCTTAGGGTGCCTTTAAATTTTGAAAGCCTGACCAATATGGGATTTTTAAGTCCGATACTATTTGAGGATTTTAAAATCCGAACGCGATATATCAGCCGATATTCTTTTTCCCTTAATTTTAAGAAACATATAACAAAAAAGATTATCCTTAACATTTGTTATGTTGATACCTCACCAAGATACCATGACATAATGCAGTTTAAAAATAAAGTTTGTTATTGTCAGAAATAGTACTTTGAACAAAAGTACAACAAAATATATTAAAGTTTTGATAAATAAGAGTCAAATGTATAAAACTACAGAAAACATTTTAAAATATCTGATTTATTATAAATTATAGAGTACTCCTACTAATGAACATTGAATTAAAGAGGTGGTATTGTGCTTTTCGGCTTCCCCCTCTCCTTTATTGAGTTATATATCTTTGTTGTGCATGTACTAGGTTTGCAAAGTGAAAAAGCTCAAAGTCCAGCCCAAAGCGAGTTCCTATCTGCCACAGAAAGCTCTGCTCTGAACCGTTTGAAAACAGCTCGTTTGCAGTCCAGCCATTTACCTTCCTTCACTGTGAAGTCGCAATGAAAACCGGGCCAGGCCCTTTGATTTTAGTTGAGCCCCTTTTCCACTGCACAATACCAGCTCGACTTGGCTCGACTTGCCTTTGTTTGGTTTTCTATTGTGGAAATGTTGTACCTGTACCTGCTTTCGAATATTGACAGTTTTACGAGAAGTGATGGCGGGACAAAAATGTGCTTGAATATTTTCAGAGTTGAGGAGCTCCGCAAGTGACTGCGGGGGAAGCCTGTACCAACCCGCAGGAGGAGCGTGTGAGGCCGGCCAGCCGCCCACTCACAGAGCCCTCTGCTCCCGCCGTCACACGGACCGCTGCAGCAACAGCGGAAGGCTTTCACACTGCTTATCTGTCTTTACATTCTGAGGAATGAAACGTTTTAACTTAAAAAGAGAAAGCTGTGTGGATCGCTGGTGTGTGTGTCGCATACACACATACTTAGTCCCATTGGACTAAGAAAGTCTTTTTACTATGTGAGTTTTAGAATATACTATGTCTGGTAGCTATCCATACAACTTACAAGCTCATACTCCTCAGTTTTTTCTACTACTGTTACCTCTGTCCTCTTCCTTTTACAATACTGTAGGATGCTCGTCTCTGTGTGAACGTTTTGACTACTTTCAGATCGTTTATGGACACGTAGCAGAGACACATACACAACACAAGTTTTTAAGGTCAAGAATGGTCTCAGACGGAGGCAAAAAAGTGGCCCAGTAGTTTGTCCCTGGTCAGCCCACTCTTTAGACAAAGCATTTGTCAGGGCCTCTGGGTCTTTAGAGACCTTTATTCCTGCATTCTTGAGAATTTTATGCAAGTAGAGTACATCACTAAATTAACCTTTAAAATATTTTCAAAACTAGAAACACCTCTTTAACTATCCTAAAGTACAGAAATCAACTCAGCTGAGCCCTACAATACAATAAATAAATAAGGCATATCATCATCAATCTTACCATAAACTGTTGCTTTGGACTGTGCTGGCTTTGACTGTTGCCCTCATCTCTGCTGTCTGTCTCATGTTCACCATGTCAGTGTTAGTACTCGTACCGCTGGCCAGTAGTGGGTAGAGTAGCTACTAAAAACCTTTACTCAAGGAAAAGTACATGAAGTACATTTTGATTTCTCCTAAGTTGTTTAACACAACTAGATATGAATACCAGGAAATGAAAGCTGAAATTCTGAACTCTTGTCTCATCTTTTGATCTTAAACCCAAATGTCTTCAGTGAACAACAAAAACAAAGGAATTTGCCTTACAGTTCCAATACTTTTGGAGGGGACTGTATGTATTTATTCTTAAATTCATTCATTCTTTCTTGAATATATTTCCGCATTTATATTTATTATTTTATTCATTTATTGATTCTTCTGGCACTTACCAGCCCCGTACACAGGATAAGCTGTTGTCAGTGAATGTAAGGTTTGTTTTGCAGTTGCTGCTGTTTCAGCACTGTGGAAGAAGAAAAATGAAAAGCATTTCTCTTTTGCATTTAAGTTAATTACAATGATCACAGAATATTTATTTTATTCTGTTCTAACTGTTTGGCTCAGGTGGAATTAGGCATTTGCATGTTGCATTTGCACTTGTTTACATTTGTGTGTAAAACGTGATTTAAACGTCCACTGAAGAAACAAAAAATGGCTTTAGACTAAAACATCAGTTTTGCGTGGATCGATGAGGAGACAGCAACCTTCCTCACATTAGTCCATGAAAGAAACATTAATTAATTAAGTCTATCATGCTCTCTACATTTTCTTTCCATCATTTGAGGTTCGACTGGCACCCTCTGTTTCTGCAATAGTTTCATAGCACCTGACTGAAGAATTAGCACCACCTACTGCTTATGTCAATGAGCAAACTCCCAATAATCATATAACAATAGTGGATAGAAACATGCATAAAATCATATTTTCTGTTGAAGGTTTTCTGAAAATTTGGCTATTGTGGTTATAAGTGGGGAACTCACAACTTGGGCAGTCGTGGCGTAATGGTAAGAGAAGTGAGCTTGTTGTAGGGATTTGGTTCAGTCCCCAGACCGGTAGGATAAGTCTAGGTGGGGATAGTGAAAAGGCAGTGCTTGCCCCTCCCTCATTACCTCATTTGTACTGGGCAGCTTCCATGTGTGATATGTTTATCTGTGCAAATGTGACCAGCGCGTTTCCGCAAAAGAGAGACTCCTCCTGTCCATTTGGCCATTGTGGTCAGAAGTGTGCTTTATTGAACACGTAATCACCCAGCAGTGATCTCACAGTGTACTGGAGTACACCAGAACATCTCTACAGCAAAAGGGAAAACTTAAACCCCAGGAGGTCAGCAAAAACAGGATTTTCAGGGAGTGTTACCCTGTATTAACTCACTACCACCTTAAATTATAAAGCTTAGTGTGAAATAGTGTGTCAAAGTTTACCGATTAAAATACTGAATTGAACTGTCATTTCCTTTCATTAAGATTCTGTCACACTTATCTGCTTTCATGTGACTTGTGCTAATGGGAGAATGTGTTTGTACCACAGACTCTTGTACAAGCAAATCAGTTGCTCCATCACACTTAAGCTGATATGTAAGTTAATATGAAGAAGCCGCAAACAGTTGCAAGGAAGTGAAATATGTCCATATTTGGCAGTTGGGGTTGTGGAAATATACTGGGAGATCAAGCATTAGGGGCTTTAGACTAGATATTTAGAAATGTTAAACACAGTAGACATTTTGTATGTAAGGAAGCTTTCTCTGTTAATTGCTGTGGGAGCTTGTGTCTGTCTGAGGCTAGTTTGAGACATTTTATCATCATACCTTTTGACCTTTTCTGCCTGTGCTTGACTTTGTATTCTGGCATTGTTCTGGCATCATTGATAGATACCTAACACCCACTTTAGGTGGGATAAGCCATTCAAATCCACATCTTTTTGTCAAATTAGCTTACTTTCTACTTTGCCAAGATATACTATTGTTGTGATGTTAGCTATAGTTCTAGGAGAGTCATGAGTATCACTGTCTGGAAGTGGTGCGCTGGGTCTGGAACAGTCTCGTCTTCATTAGCATTCTCAGTAGCAACTGAGAGAAAGAGAGAGAAAGAGTTTGCTAACTAGCTAATGTCAGTTACATTCTTTGCTGTGTTGTTGTTCGCTCTATATCATGGTATTTGTCATGGTGTTGGATTTCATCAGAATTGTTCACTCCACCTTTGACTAACTTGTGCTGTGTTTATAATGCTTATAAACAATTTCTATTTTAAGCTAGCCTACATTTACACAGCAAAGGCAAGATTTTCATCCATCCATCCATCGTCAACCGCTTATCCTGCATACAGGGTCGCGGGGGCTGGAGCCAATCCCAGCTTACATTGGGCGAAAGGCGGGGTACACCCTGGACAGGTCGCCAGTCCATTGCAGGGCCACACATAGACAAACAACCACTCATACTCACATTCACACCTAAGGACAATTTTAGAGACACCAATTAACCTAGCCTGCATGTCTTTGGATGGTGGGAGGAAGCCGGAGCACCCGGAGAGAACCCACTTGAACCCACAACCTTCTAGGCAAGATTTTATACTTGGAAAATTCTTTGTGTTTCATTATTTCTCATGTTTTTCCTGACTCAAATTGTATTTTTTATTTTATTTTATTATGATCGCTTGACCTATTTACCTAAAATAATATTCTTTTGATTGTTGTGGTTCTTGGAGATATTTTGATTCAATTTTCAATTGGAAATGTTCTTTTCTATTTTGGATTAAAACTTTTTTTTTTAGATACCCAAATATTTTTGTCCTGCCTAGTTGATTTCTCCATAAAATATGTCACTGAGATTATTCTGATATTAATATAAACTGATGTAGAACCAAAAAGGACAGCAAACAAATGGCTCCATACAGCACTGTATTAAAATATCAGTGAGGTTAAATGTATAGCTTCCTCTGAACCACAAACCAAACACAGATAACACTTTTGACGTGGCAGTGTAACATTTTTGCAATAAACTATGTGAATATAATTATGTTATTATATAAAAAAATATTATTGGTGAAGCATGAAAAGAAAAACTGAAAATGGAATTTAAATCAAATCAAACATGACATTAAATAAATGTTTAAGAGTATAGTACACTTCAGAATCATTTACATCACTGACAGAGGAAGGAAAAGACATTGACATTGACATCAGAGCCACATGCGGTTTGTCCACCACAAGGAACAACAGTATACTCTGTCCTCTTCAGCCTTTACTTTGTTAAAAGAGTGCTGTTGGTTTTGACTGGTAAGTTACATATTATCATTTTTATATATGGTCTTAATGCGGCCATTGTGAAAAAGCTGATGCAACTACTGTTATTCAATTAATTTTCTGATCAGAAGCTGAAGGACTACAAAAGCCATGCTTTTGGCAGCGGCTGAATGTGTGTTGATGGGTTTCATCCTGTACATCTCAGGTATGATTTATTAGTTATCCTTTCTTATACAGTGCTAAACTTTAATCACGACTTGTGTGATGATTAATTGTCATCTATAAAAAAAAACAAAGGGGAAAAATTAACTATAGGCTATTTTACAAAAGTGGAGGGGTTAAATTGTGGGAATTTTATTACTACTAAAATTAAAGAACTTTTATCAGCATATTACAAAACAGAAATATAATAGCTTTCAAGATTATTACAACTACTGGAATGAGCTCTTAAAACTTCCTTAAATGTAATGTATATCACACTGTCATGAATAGTAGACATCCAATATTTCAAATGGTTTCAATACGTCCATATGTTTACTAATGAAATATTCTGTTAAAGGGATTCAGGGACAAGCAAACCACATCTGTGCCTTAAAAGGTTCATCAGTGGATCTGCCCTGCTCAGCTCAACATCCCACTTCAAGCATAAAATGGTACACCATTCACATTACTGATCCACGATCCACGTATGTCCTGAATGAGCTTTCTGCAGATGGAAATCATGTTACGTATAACATGTCTGAAAAGAGTATCTTCACTCTAACAATCAATGATCTGAGAGAGAGTGATGAAAAGTTTTACTGCTGCAAAGAAACTACTGACAAACCAGAAAACTGCTGGCACAACAGAACTGAGCTCCACATTGCAGGTACAGTGGCTGCCACTTATTTATTACTTTAACATCCATATATAAATTCTTATTTTATTCATCATCGTCCCAGACCTGCAGGTAAAGGTGATTCCTGCCACAGAGGGACAGACAGTAACACTGATGTGTAACACCAGCTGTCCTCTGACTGAAAACCCTGCAGCCTACATCTGGTACAGGAACAGAGAGTTTCTCTATCAGGACTGGTCTCCCTGGTACCAACAGCTGGTCAGCAGTGACAAAGCAGTCAGATACTCCTGTGCTATCAAAGGCTACGAGGGTCTCAGAGCCCCTGAAGTCTCCGTGGGTGAGTGACCTTCCAAAACATTCGGCTTAACATTTACTCATTCAACTTGAACTGGAAAATCTTATGACATATCATTAATAAGTTCAGCAATCAAAATACTGAATGCCATTTTTTCTGTTCAGATTCTGTCACACCAACCTGCTTTAATGTCACCTATGCTAAAGGAATGTGTTCAGTGGATAAGCCCTGCTCCACCACATATCCAACAGGTTAAGTTTCTCCAAACCTCCACAAACATACACCAAGACAGGAATCATATCACGGCCAGTGAGTGTGGAAAAGTGGGAAAAGAAATTTGAGGATTTCCTTATTTCCACACTACTACGTTTTTGTTTTAAAATGAAAACGATCTCTGTCCACACCAGTATCAGAACTGATCTCCATCTGTATTAAAAGCATAGACCGTGTGTGGACACGTACACTGGGCATGTACTGGGAAAACGGCGCAAACTAAGTCAAGTAGAGCCGAGGCGAGGCGAGTTGAGCTGATACTGTACGGTAATGGAAAAGTGCCATATTTGCTTTGGTGTAAACAGGAAGCAGATTGTCTACTCTGCAGTTGTAGAAGATGTTATGAGTCTTATGAGCCTCCAACCAGCAGGTATTTTAGTAAGAAATCTTTTTTTTTCATTCGTCTGTCATTTCCAGTTTTCTGTTACTTAAATAGGGCAACTAACCAAGGGAGGCTGGTTGCAGTGACAAAATCCAAAATATTAAGTTTTAAAGATATACAGTTTATCTTTCTGAATTATAGTGATGCCAAAATGATAAGAAGACTGTCGACAAATGACGTCCTTTATCGTGTTTATCGTGCTTTAGAGTTATGTGTTTTTGCGGACACAAAAGGAATTTTTATTGTCATACTTCTTAAAGGGAGTTTGACGCAATATTTCCCCCAGAGAGCACAGGGAGCATCCATTAAGTTTACAGTCTAATGTGTGTTTGTATTGATTACTGACAGTGGCTGATCGAGATAATTATCAGCTAATTGTAAGCCTACTCAGTTTCTAATGACAGTATGCATGAAATGGTTAAATTAATATAATAAATTATTCATGCTACATAAAATCTGACAGCATTTTGTAGAAAAGTCAAACAGTCAGTGTACAATTTTAATAAACTCAGTACTGTTCAGGACACATTCAATCAACAGTTTGTCTCTACTGCCACAATACCTGTATGTGAGCTGAATTTTCAAACATATAAACATACCTTATTACCTTATCATATCATCTCCCAACAGAAGTAATGTTACATGTTGAAAGGAATTTTGAGAAGAACTATGTAACACTGACCTGTGCCACCAGCTGTCCGATGGCTGACCCTCAATATGTCTATACGTGGTACTGGAACAAACAGTTATACAGTCACTGTAAGAGTCAACACATCACACTTTTCCGCTCTTCTGTTGGAGTCTTCTCCTGTGCTGTGACAGGCCTCGAATATCTGCACTCTGATGAAAAATGTGAGTGTAAACTAATTTGTGGTCTTTTTAACTCATAGAATTGGGCAAATATATCATTAGTCTGCAAGCCTAAAGGGCAATATGAAACATATTAATCTAAATAATGTTCAAACACCATGGGGTTGGACAACAGAAACAACTTACTATAAAATACAATAGCTCTGATGTAAACACCAGTTTGTTCATTTCTATTTGTTGTTTGAAATGTTAATCAAATGTCACATTATCTACAATTTAAAAAGTCAGTATTTGATGGTCTGCTTTTCCTCTCGCCTCATTGGATATAACATTTTTGTGACTTAACGTAATTCAAGTTGAGACAATCTGGCCTCTTAGGAAATCCCTTCACGCCCATTGCTTTCTTTGTGATTTATTGCTGCAAGAATTTCTGTTTTTCTTTTTTTAATCCCAAACACTATAAACTCTATGTTGTGCCATACAATATGCAATACAAAATTTTAAATGTAAATAGGATTTTATATTAATATTAGTTGAGACTGGTTAAAATCCTAGACACAGAAGCATTTTTAAAAAGTAAATTTAGCTGTTAAAAGTGTTTAATCTATATTTTAGGTCTTGATGATTCGAACTGCTTGAGTGTGAATTACGTCAGCAGGAGGATCTGTGCCCTGGAAGGTTCATCAGTGAACATTACAAGCGAATCCTCGGGCCAATCGGTTAATTCATGGAATAAAGTAAAGAGACGTGATGAGGAGGATGATGAAACTTTGACTGACGATGCTGGTCGTGTGGAGTTTCATGTCATAAAAAACTACCACATAATGAGCATCAATAACCTGATGAAGAATGACTCAGCAGAATACACATTCACGCCCCGAAAATATAAACAAGGACGGACACAGTCTGATTTATCTGGAGTGACTTTAGTTGTCACAGGTAATTTTTTTTTTTTTTTTTTTTTTTTTTTACAGTTTTCAGAAAATTATGTAGCAGTTATATGTCTTAGCATTTTGAATGTTTAGTCCTGGGTAGAAAGCCTGCGTTCTGCTTTTTTCTATTTTTTTGTATTAAATATCTCATATGCATATTATACTGTATATTCTCTGAAATAATTGATATCAGGTATTTTGATGATTGTAAGCCATCTTATCCAACGGACACACAAAAGCTTATATGATGCCCCCTTTTGGTTAATTGATCTATAGAAATTTTTTTTTCCAGGCCTGAGAGTGAAGTTTACTCCTTCTGCAGAGGTGACAGAGGGCCAGAGAGTCACACTGACCTGCAGTACCAGCTGTCCTCTGACTGACAACACAAACTACATCTGGTACTTGAACAGTCGACGTTTTGACCGGGCCAAAGAACAAAAAGAAACAGCTGGTTCTAGACCCGGTCAGTAGTCAGCATGAAGGAAACTACTCCTGTGCTGTCAAAACTCCCAAAAACATCAGCTCACCAGAAGAAAGTCTCATTGTCAAAGGCAAGCACAGCTTTAAATTTTAATTTAATAATTGTTAGCTATTGAAGCACTTTTACAGTTAAACTGAAGCAAATGTCTTTTTTTAAGTACTCTGTGTGACATGAATAACATCTTTCACCCACTCTGATTCTGATAAAATGTAATGTACACTCACCTAAAGGATTATTAGGAACACCTGTTCAATTTCTCATTAATGCAATTATCTAATCAACCAATCACATGGCTGTTGCTTCAATGCATTTAGGGGTGTGGTCCTGGTCAAGACAATCTCCTGAACTCCAAACTGAATGTCAGAATGGTAAAGAAAGGTGATTTAAGCAATTTTGAGTGTGGCACGGTTGTTGGTGCCAGACGGGCCGGTCTGAGTATTTCACAATCTGCTCAGTTACTGGGATTTTCACGCACAACCATTTCTAAGGTTTACAAAGAATAGTGTGAAAAGGGAAAAACATCCAGTATGCGGCAGTCCTGTGGGCGAAAATGCCTTGTTGATGCTAGAGGTCAGAGGAGAATGGGCCGACTGATTCAAGCTGATAGAAGAGCAACTTTGACTGAAATAACCACTCGTTACAACCGAGGTATGCAGCAAAGCATTTGTGAAGCCACAACACGCACAACCTTGAGGCGGATGGGCTACAACATCCCACAAATCTCCATCAACTGCAAGATGCTATCCTATCAATATGGGCCAACATTTCTAAAGAATGCTTTCAGCACCTTGTTGAATCAATGCCACGTAGAATTAAGGCAGTTCTGAAGGCGAAAGGGGGTCAAACACAGTATTAGTATGGTGTTCCTAATAATCCTTTAGGTGAGTGTATATTAACATAACTGCATTCCAATGTAGAAAGAATATTTCACAAGACCTCCTCAAGGGTCTATATGATGACCCTACCTACCAAGGACACCACATTTAAATTTGGTAGAAGGAAAGTAAAATTCAGTAAAAGCAGTAGGCAGACACTGTAGATTATGATTTAAGTACAGTGCCAAAAACCTACAAAAGACAATAATGTGTCTTGCTTTTTATTGTTTTTAAATAATTTGCACTGGAAACACATCTCCCAACGATCTCTCTCCAGCTCAAGGGAAGTCAGTAGCGATAATGAATGCAGTAAAACTGACTGTTTTGTTACTGATCCCGCCTGCTGCATTTCTCTTCTACCTGGCGCTGAGGTAAAAAGTCTGACATTTCCATTTTTGTACTTTTATTTCCTGTATTCAAAGTCAGTCTGTTTGTAACATTAACAATGTCACAATATGATTAATAAGATCTAGGAAAATGAACAATCCAACCTCCGCTGCTGAGCTAAGTGACAAAGTACAAAGTGAACAGGTGAGTAAAAACCTTAGACCTAGAAATGTCTGTTTGTGCATGTTTGTGTGTGTTCCCTCTGTTACCTGTTTTCTCTGCCCTTCAGCTGTATGAAAGCATTGCATTCGTGACCATGAGTCCTGCTGCACAGGAAGCACCTGCAGAGGAGCAAGAATACACTGTGTAATATGAGCTTGGATTTTAGATATATGTGCAGGGCGCTTTGCAGAGGACAAATAAATGTATGTCTTGTTCATTTAGATACAAGCTGGAAATGCATGATTTGAGCACCATTTAGGCATCTGTAAACTCATGTATGTGATGCAGCCAAATCAGGATGTCACAATCATTTACTCGTATCCTTTGTGATCTGCTTCCTGTTGGGGGGGTTGCAAGGCTGTTATCTACAGATGACTGACACATCCGTTCATGAGGGCCTAATGCATGTTTTGAATGCTGATTGTGGCTAATATATTTTTCTTGTTATATTTTATGTTTTAATGGCATATTATAATAACATTTACAATAATATTTTTGTATACTGGGGATAACTTTGTACATGACACTTTGCTTCCTTCTTCCCCTGCACATTTCACAGTGATGTTTGTGCAAAAGTGTGAAATTAAATTACAACAGACTGATTCCTCTTGCCTATTTCATCACTTTCTTGTAAATGTACTTTAATGTGAAAGGAAATGCATTTAAATGTTTTTAGTAGGTTTTTGTTGCTTTCATTTCAATCTACAACTGTAACTTTATATAGGCTATGTTATGTTTACTGTGTTTTCTTTTATTCTTCAATGTTAGAGATATAAACACATGGCAGTATTTGTTTTGTATGTGATTTTTTTGTTTTTTCGGGAAATAACTTGGGAGACACTTACTTCTCTCACAGACTACATCCTGCAGGAGTGATGAGTCTATTCAACAGGCAAGATGGAACAATTTACATGGATTGCTTATCAACATTTGTGGAGCCAAAAACAAAAATATGTGATTAATGGAACATAATACGTCAGACAAAGTGAGGGGGACTTTCAATGTGCCACCTGACGACTAGCTCAAAGAGATTTCCATTCAGTTAATTTGTCACAATTTCAGTCACTTAATGCAGAGCCGTTGACGGCTCTGACTTAATGTAGGTTAATCCTTGGCTAATTAATTGTATTTATTGGTTGTTTATAGACTGATTGACAAAGTGCTAAGTTTACCTGTAAGTCTGATTCACTAATCGTCCATATATTGTGGGACGTGCGCGTTTTGACACTTTTAACAGTCTATGAGTGACACACTAAAATGTTTTTTTGTTGTAGTTGTTTATTTTTTTTTGCAGTCAATGGTTTCATTATGTGGTCTCACAATATGCAATTCATAGTTTTCAGTCACGTGACATTCGCGGTAGCCTACCTGTGTACCGCTCGATTGCGGTAATGTTTACGTTTACCTTGTGGGGAATCCCTCACTTAACACAGCTCAGGCTTGTCTCTTCCTCGAAAGTACAACTACCATCCAGCATTTTGGCAATGCAAAAGTAAAAACTCATAGTAACAGTGTATCACCTGCTTCCTGGTTGGCAGGCAGCGGAAAATAACGTCTTTTTTGTCCTCCAAGGGAGCGTTTTCCTTCGAATGTGACGTCACGTGAAAACCATGAATACGAAGTGTTGACCAGCAGATGTCACCATTTGACTAACACATGCTTGACTAATTATAATGTATCATTTGCCTCAAAGCGATTCATGGAAAGCTTCGTTTGCCTGAATTTACAAATTATACATTAGAAATACGGTTTCAGATTCTGTCAGTTAAGCCAATTTCAAATCTTCTTGATGGAAACCTTACTGACATTATATGCACTTAGCTCCAATTAAGATCAGAGTCAGACTGCTTGATACAAATATTGTGGTTACGGTTTTAAAGTGTGACGTAACGAGCTCTAGGCGGTCACGTGGTTTTTTTTCGCGTATTGTATCGGGCCACCCATCGCTGTTAGCGTAACCTAACCCGCAGCTGGAGCTATTGCTGCTAGTTTCGATTGGATTGTCTGAACAGCGCACTAAACTACCATGGACAACAGAGGCTACGGTTCCGGTAAATATACACTGACTCTCAGGCATGACGCCTAACATGTGGTGTAGATAAATTCATCATGGCTACAGTTAACGTTATTAATTAGTTATCCAGTTACCCAAGTTCTTTGTTGCAGTGAAACGGTGCTGCAGTATGTTAGCTAACTAGCTAGTTCAGGTATTTAGATTACCATCAAAAACAAGCAACACATAGCCGCTTGTAGCTTCAGACAAAGACGTGTTAGCTAACTGTTAAGTGATATTTCTCTATCTGTTGTAATCAGTTTTTACAAATTCATTTCAGAGGTGAAAAATTCACCAACGCACACTACCAGGCCCGTTCACTGACATTATGAACCATAGCTAGCTAGGGTTAGCCACTTCGCCATCAGGCTGGTTATTTGCCAATGTGCTAACATACAGGGCTGCGTTGGACCATTGTTTGACTGTTCTGTGGCGTGTTACATGCAAACCAAAGTTAGCCGGCCAATTCTGTTAAAATGGAGTCAGCGTGGAGATAACCTACTTTTAAAGGCTAGTTAATAAAATGGCCGCCTCAACTAATATGCTTCCAAAACCATTTGCAATGGGCCAGTAAAACCGATTCCGATCCAAAGAAATCCATTGTCTGATAGAAATCTGAAGAAAACCCAGCCGGTTCGCTGTTGAGTTGAACCCTCTTGCGGTATCTTTCAGATATTTAACCAACCTAGAAGTCCACTTGATTTTGCTTAAATATTCGTTTTGACTATTTACGATGTATATGAGTAACACAGCTGGATGGTCTTATTGGTACGCAAACATCTTGGCTGTTCACGTTTGACTACTAGCCTTTATGACCTTTTAGTTTGCCTATACCAATGTTTTTGCTCCTTGTGTAGGTTACTCAAGTTGGGGAGGTGGAGGATCAGGCAGCAGAGGTGAGAAAATGAGATGTACTCCCGTACTGCTCCTGTACACAAGTACACCCAAACTTTGTCGGGTTGCGGCCTACACCGTTTTTTTTTAACACAGCTAGGGGATAATGACTACATCGGATAAGACAATTATTTTGACTGAATATTGCTTTTGATATTGCAGCTCTTTGTGGTATGACTACTACTAAACCAGGGAGGGATAACAGTCATACTCTTTGACAAGAAAATCATTAGACAAGTTTATGCATCCACTGTTAAAATCACTCCTCACACTATTAACTGGCTATGCAAGCTATTGCAATATCAATAGATGTGGATTAACATTTCATTAACTTAAGTAGCTTAATAAAATCAATTGCTTACTTTGACTGACCTCTTAAAAATCCACTGTTTTATATTTAAATGATACAAACGTCAACCACTGTTCGCTTTTGTAATTGTTTAATACTTTTTATTCTTTATCCATGAGACTATTGTGCATTAGCATCTGAATATTTAATTTGATTACATTAGGAGTGCTTCACCATTGATCTGTAATAATAGTAAGGAGGTGTAGTGGTTGTATTAACATCTTGAAAATTCCTCGCTATGTTAGGTTCTGGTGGCTTTGATCTGTATGGGGGAGGTTATAAGGACTCGATGTCTGGGCTCGGGGGCTATGGAGGAGGAGGAGGCGGCCACATGAAGAGAGGTCTCTCGGGAGCGTCCCTGCTCTCATCTACAGGCACACACGCAGATGCAGTCATTGCCAAGATTAACCAGCGCCTGGACATGCTTACTCAGTTGGAGGGGGGGTTGAAAGGGTCTCGGGGTGACAGGTAATAACATTTCCCTTTTCTGCTCCATACTGTCTTCATCGGTCAGATACCACCACCAAACATCCATGCCAGTGAGAATATTACATTTCCCAGTAATGTTTGTCATTAAAATGTGAATGTTGCCTCATGCCTGCACAACATCCAACTAGTTAAATTTTAGCTTGTTTTTCGAGATACATCTCAGAAGTATCTCTGTAAATGTTGCAATTCCCATTTTGGTGTAAGATGCTTAGGCCTTCTAATGCTATTGGTAATTTAAAAGTCAAGCAGGTCTTGCATTAGTTTGGGCAGAGTAGTAGAACAGAATTCTGTAAGATATATATGCAAAAAATAACAAACGAAGACCATGTTGTTGGAAAATCGATTGTTATTGTTTAATAGTCAGGTTGCTCGAGCATATTGGGCTGTCCTAGCCCATTTACTAACACTTTACACTCAGCCTTGGGGAAAATATGCACTCCACAAATCCTGTTTGGGATGAAAAGGGTGCGAGTTACTCACAGGCTGCATTTGAAAGCCTCAGCATCTGAGGACGCTTTGATTGCTCCCCTTTTGCTATGTTGTGGTTTGTCTGATTGTTGGGGAACAAATGTTGTGATTCCTCAAAACCTTTGACGTCATGGTATGCATGGCCCCTCGTTGGAGGTGCAATTCTAGACCACCTTTTCCATTTGTAACAGATTGACATCCTTGCATATAAAGTGAGTCCATCTTTACCTAGCACCCCCTGAGCATTGCCTTTGTTTTTATTTGTTGACACACTTTTTCTCTCATCCTCCATGTGACCTAACCCTGTGTTCTGGATTTAGGTTATGGAAGAGAGATGAGTTTAGAGGTGTTAGCTTGATATTACCTTTCAAGCCAAACTGTTAATTGAAGGTTGTCTGTATGTACAAAAACACTCTTACCCAATCAAACGGCCCCATTTATGTTTCATTCCCCTTCTTGAGTATTTACCATAAACCAGTCACTTCCCAGGATGTTTCACTTCTTGCACCTTTCTCAGGACATCACTGGTTCTGATGGACCATGCTCATGTCTGTTTAAGGTTTCACAGCCTTAGGAACTGCATTCCCCCTAATCTGCAGGATAAGGTTTGACCTCCAACAGAGAATGTGGTTGGATGAGTTTCTTTAAACTAAATAAGAGGAAAAATCATTACTGTAAATTTAAAAGCCCACAAGCGGTTTGTTAACTTGTTTTGGATCATCAATTTCTGATCTAATGTGGTATCTGAAATTAAGCTGGGAGTGACAAGAAAAGAAATAGAGAAAGCGAGACCATGGAGGAGAAGGAATAGCAGGTGGAGAAATCCAAACCTGACTGCCCTCCCTGCCTCCCCTGCTCTCTGCTCTTCTCTATCAACCCTCTCCCTCCCTCCCGCAGGTATGACCAGTACGAGTCATTCGACTCGCGCACCTCCTCTCTCACCTCCTCCCGAGATCTCTACAGATCTGGCGGCGGTAGCTATGGTTATGGCGATGGCCGTGGGGACAACATGCTGTTGGGTCAGCGAGGAGTCTCGGGCTTCGGAGGGGGAATTGGGCTAGGGGGAGGAGGAGGCTTTGACAGCCCCTCCTCTTCCTATGGAGTCGCAAAAATGCGACAGAATATGCGGGAGTCCTTCAGCAGTGGCCAGGGAGGAGGTTCTGGAGGTGGATGGGCTGGAGCAGGCCGACGTTCCCCCAGAAGGGGTGGAAGTGCCGGGGGTCGAGGAGCTGGAGGAGGGTTTGGAAGCCGCAGGTCTGACCCCACTCCATTAGGCGGAGGTGGGCGGGGAAGTGGTAGTGGTGGCCAGTCCCACCGCGGCCACTCTCCAGGAGGTGGTAGAGGCAAGCTCCCATCCCTCCTGTCCAACCGCATGTACCCTGAGAGTGGGGGCTTCCATCAGGGTTCCATTCAAGGGCCTCACGACTTTCCTGGGAGGCATTTTGGAGGGGGCCCACGGGCTGGCCGCCAGCGAGGCCGCAAGAGACCCCTCAACAAAGTAAGTACCTCCAGCCAAATAAGACCTCCTCAGACACTGGGCAACAGTTAAGCCCTTTCTGATCCCCTCCTTTTGTATCCTCAACCACAACTGGCAAGTCAGCCTAAAGTGCTAGTACCTGCTATGTGCAATGGATAGCAGTTTGTCACAAATATCCCCAACACATTTGGCATATCACTTGCCCCTCTAACTCCGCCCAGCCCTTATTTAATGTGGTCAGAAATGCCGCACGGAGCTGCCCTTTTAAAACAATAAAGGCAAGTGACAACTCTCCCCGCCCAATTCTTTGTCTTGTTTACCTGTGGGAGTGTTGATTTACTTTTATTTTTATTTTTTATTTTCTTTTGCCCCAGTCCTGGGTACCCTCAAGATAAGGCTAATAATATTGATGAGGAAATGCCCAGAGAAGGAAGACCTATCAAGTCTGCTAATTGGCTTTGACCAGCATTAAGTCTAGAGTTCACTGATGTGTTGATGATAAGTTCTGCTTGTATTGGGTTTTGGTCAGAAAATGTATTTGAGTGCAAACTGATTTTGTTGACTGTAGCAGGTGAAGCCACAGCGTGATGTCCAGAAGAAGAGAAAGCAGACACTTACTGCAGCTGATGAACCAGAGTCAAAGATGAACAAGACAGAGAGTGCAGGGTCAGAAGCTACCCAAGGTACTTCCTTTAAATAAATTCCTGATGAATTAGCATACAGCATTTCTATGTCCACCTTGGCCTGATGTCTATGTACTTTCTTTACATAGAGCAAGCAGAGAAAAATGGTGACGACAGTGAACCGAAGACTGCAGCTACAGTGAGTAGATCAAGCTTGTTTGACAGAAACTCTTTTTGATATGCAAATAGTGGCCTATAAAGACTTAAATGTGACCTTATTCTCCCAGATCAACACTTACGGCATGAATTAATGTACCTATATGAGTAAACTTTTTCATCACCGGTAATTCTCTTGCACAGATTTGAGAGGGACACAATTTTATTAGAGATAGAGGTGAGTGTAGCATACATTAATGAGGATTATTGGTTTAAATTGGACTACTGCATAGGACATGAAGCTTAGGCAGAAGAATAAACCTCTCAAGTTATCGGCGCCTTTTTCTAAATCAAATAAGTAATGGGATTCTCTTCTTCACAGGAGACAAAACCTACTGCAGATGGAGATAAAGGTAAGCACACCTATAGCTGCTACTCACTGATTTTTATTCTTTCTTTTAATGACAAACCATGCCCCGTCAGTCTACGTAACCAGCTTTTCATAAACCGCTACCCTCTAATGGACATCTTGGCGTGCCTAACTTCTGCCCTTCTACACTTAGCTTCACCCAAACAGGAGGAGAAGAAAAGTCCACAGGGCAAACAGACCCCGGCTCAAGGTCAGGACAAACACCCTAAAATGAGGAAGAGGAGGGGCTTCCTGGAAAGGTGAGATTACCCACTATATACCCCTGGGTCAAGATTTACAACTTCACCCTCTTGTCTCTATTCTTTGTTAGATTTCTTTTTTTGTGGGATTAGTTTATTGCCTTTGTTTCACTGTACATTAATACTTCCATTGTTTAGTTGCAGTCACTGAGATGATTGTGTAATAATTTGGATTATTTTCTCGTTTCATCCACTTTTCATCGCACTGTACATTTTTTCTGATGGGCCGGTTTTCTTTTTTTTTTTTTTTTAATTATCTTTTTTTTTTTCAGGGTGATGTTTGCATGCTCTGTGTGCAAGTTTCGTTCATTCTACAAGGAGGAAATGGAAACTCATCTCGAGAGTCGCTTTCACAAGGACCATTTTAAGTTCCTTTCCAGTCAACTGTCCAAACCCACTACAGACTTCCTACAGGTGAATGAGATTTGCCAAACATCACACTTACAGTCTAAAATAGATGCATTAAGGGATTAATGTTTACCATCACACACAAATCAGGAAAGCATAAATTGTCAGTCATATGCTTTTGGACACAAATTTTAATGGGTGTGCTCATTGTAAATGCACTAAAATTTTTCATAAAGGTAGTTTTAATTGTCAGGTTATTGAATTGATTTGCGGGGAAGTTGCACCTAAGCCCTACTAAAAGGACAACAATCAGTTATGCATTATAACTCATCAGATTTTGCATGTAGATTTTAAGGGTGACATTTATTACTTTTGTTCATGCAGCCAGGTCACCGGTGTTGACAAATCAGTTACATGAAGTGTAAACTAACAAAGTTTGGTTTCACTTTTGTAGGAATATTTGCAGAACAAGTTTAAGAAGACAGACCAGAGGGTTGGCCAGTTGGAAAACCACAGTGCTGCCATCTGCCAGGTGTACAAAGAGCAGGACCTCACCAGGGGTAAGCGGGGGTGGGTGTGTGTGTGCGTGCACGTGCATATCTCTGAGAGTGAGTGAGTGTGTAAGAGGAAGAGACTATAATTGATTGCTCATTGTAAATATTTGTCACATCTGTGTAGATCTCGGTATGGAGCACTTCATGAGGAAGGTGGAAGCTGCCCACTGCGCAGCATGCGATCTTTTCATTCCCATGCAGCCCCACCTGATACAGAAACACATCAAGTCTCCTGACCATAACTACAACCGGAAGGTATGGCAGATTGCCCACAAATTTATAATTCTATAGAAAACAAAACAAACCTTTCTTCTACAGACTAGTTTGTAAAGTAGTTTGGCACAAACTAATGTTGTTTAAGGCTGCAATACATATAGGCCTGGATGGATAAATATGTACAGCTCATATTGCAACATTGTTTAAAAATTATTGCAATGGGAGATTGATTCCTTAAATCATTGAGCCCTACTCTAAACATTGGCTCATTGGACATGATGATTATAGAGTAAAGGCACCAGCAGCATTTGTAATTTAATGCATTCGATAGAAGAACTTGAACTTGTCTTGCATAACATTGCTTGAAGTGGGTTAAACAAGCCAGCACAGTTCTTGTTCAACCCACTACTTTTTGTGCAGTGGTGTTAAAATTGACTTTAAAAGCCATGATGCTCCATACACCAGATGATATGGGTGGGTTTTTAGTTGGGCTAGGGTGTACCCAAACCAAATCCTGTTCTAACCGGTCCAGTACAACTGCTGTTACAAAGCTATGGCCAATGCTGGATGACATACTGCAATGTTTTTGTTCTTTTGGATGTTTTGCAGTGTTCCATGTATGACTTGGTACTGTTCTCTTTGTGATTTAAGGGTATGATGGAGCAGTCCAAGAGGGCCAGTCTGTCAGTTGCTCGTAGCATCCTTAACCACAAACTCATTGGCAAGAAGCTGGAAAGCTACCTCAAGGTATGGACAGTGTCGTGTACCTGAGCATGGGTGATCAACCAAACTGCCATTATGTGAATAGTTGCACAAAATTTACTTGTGCTATTTTGAGCTATTTGCTTTGTCAGTAGGAATAAATAATAAAAGTTTATGGTCACAGTGTAATTGTATGTTTTTAACCAATGCCATGGGAAAATGCACTAGCATTCTAAAAGGAGTGCAGTTGAAGAACAGAACCTGCATGCACAAATTCAATAATATCCATGTGTTTTATTGTATGTGGATCATCTCCCCGCAAGATGAGCTTTTGGTTGAGGAACTATTCAGATACTTCCTCTGGTCTTAAATGGATATGTAGAGACTAAAATCTCACAAATTCATTGTGATTATGGATGTAAAGGCTCAAGGATAAACATATGTACTTAAAAACGTTCTTTTATTCAGGGTGAAAACCCATTCACTGGTAACCAAGATGACCAGGATCCAGAGGACTCGATGGTGATGGACGTGTCTGAGTTGGAGTTAACCAGTGAGACAGCAGACAGCCAGGCAGAGGCGGCGGCAGTCAAGGATGAGCCGCCGGCTGAGGGAGAGACGGGTCAAGAGGCGGTCGAGGGTGAAGTAGTACCGGCGGCGGCGGCAGCAGAGGAGGAGGAGGAAAAAATGGAGGAGGAGCTAGGAGTGGAGGGAGAGGAAGAGCAGGGGAACCAGGAAGAGGAGGAAGGATTTGAAGTTGGGGAGGAAGAGGATGAGGAGGGATATGTGGTGCACGATGAGATTGGCGAAGAGGGATTACAGGATGAGCTGGAAGAGGAGGAAGGAGTAGACGCAGCAGAGGTCGAAGAGGAAGACAAAAACGATGAATGACTTTTGCAACCCTGTGTGCGACTTCTCGACCATGACATCTCTCCGGACCAGTAAATGACTCATACAGTCCCATTCAACCCAGTTTCATTGCCAGGCATATTACCAAGAAATATACATACCTGCTTCCACCATTTTTCATTGTGTACTGACTCTGAGCTTATATAATTTAGATTTTTGTTACAGGAATTGTTCCACATTTTGGCAAATACTCTTATTCACTTTTTTGCTGAGAATTAAAAATAAATAAATAAATAGTTACTCTATGTAACTGTTTTATGTATTCCTACCAACTGTCTTCTGGCGTGTTGGTAGACTTATTTTTGGACTGTGGAGAGAGCCAGGCTTGTTGTGTGTTTTTATTTAATTTTTTTCTTTCTAGTCTTAATGTTAAATTAATCCCCCCCTGCTCAAGGTCCATACTTAACGCAGACAAAAAAGTGTATTTCCCAAAATGTCAAACGATTTCTCTTAATACTTGTGCCTTTGTTGTTGTTTTTGTTTTTAATTTAGATTTATTTGTTGAAATCTTGAGTATTGTAAAGTTGAAAGTTATTGTGTACTTTTTTTGTTTATCAGAGTTTGCATAGCATTCTGTCCATTGCCAGCACTGAGGATGGTGAACTTCTTAGTAAAACCTTATATTCTACAGCTGGGGTGACTGTCTGTAGAATAAGATGGAATATTCAGAATGGATATCAGTCATGTAACCTGTTTCACTCTAAGAAATAAACCTGTTGAATAAATCACTGTTTTCACTGTTTTATATTGAAGGTTTTACAATTTAACTATTTTTAGTTTAATGTAAAAAAAAAAAAAAAAAAAGCTTGTTTAAAGCTTGGTTTAATGAAAAATGTAAACACTACCTTAGTATTCAACAAAATGTTTAATTTGAAGGGCACATCTTTGACTACATTTTAGCATGCTATTGGCGGTGATGGCATGCATTTACATCAAAGGTCAGGGTACAAGGGCTGGTGATCCTCTCAGGCTGAACAAAGGCCTATCAAAAACATTTTTGGAGATTGAGATGTAATCAGGGTTCAAAACCACCAAACGGTAGAACTCTATTTGTTGTCTGTTTATTTGTCTTATGCTGCGACTGGAATGAGTCAGACTGTAAATAACATGCACGTGCTTTCACAGAAATGTGAGCCCAATCTGTCAGATAGTGGCGCTTTATTTAGGGCCCAAAAATGCTATTTTTGAAAGGCCCGCCATTCAGATTGACTTAAAATGTCTCACACAAGTCCATCCTGCGGACTTAATTTAGTCAAATTGAGCTGCTTCCTTACATTGAGCGAAGATGGGATTGAACCCGGAAAGGATATATTTTAACATCTAATTTTAGAAACGGCAACACCCCACCCACCTACTGTTTTCTCAGTTATATTACATGGCAACCTTATATTAGAATATACGTTTTATACACAAATGTAAAATATGTTTGTTTTTCATGAAGATTGTGAGCAGTACAAACGGCTACACTAATAAGAAAGCTGTGAAGACTGTAAATGAGTGTTTCGCTTTTATTGCCGTTTATTAAGAGCAAAAGAGAGAAAGCAATGAGACTACAGCTAAATGGAGTCGTTCACACCTTACTACACGTTTGTGGCGAATTAAAGCTTCAGATTATCGGTTATTTACTTCACTCATCTTTATTTAAGCAAATGGATCAAAGACATAATTTGTGCGATAAACACCAACCTGTTCGTTGAAATCATTACCTAGTATTGCGTGATCCTACCCGGGGAGGAGGTGAAGCTGTGGGGGTGACATTTCGTCTGACAAACCTTCGGCCTGCCCCCGTGCGTCTGACGTCATCGACGTCAAACGGGACTGTTTGTTCTGGATTTGGGGCGAGGAAGGTCTGCGAGCGCTGACAACCGACTGAAGAAGGTAAAAATAGCATTTTATAGCTTTGTGTAGATGACATTAGTATATCAGACGAAAGCATACAACCCCAGGGATCCGGTGAAAGGTTTACAACGGGTATCGGGGGCGTATTTCGCGCGCTGTCAGTGGTCGCTTCAGTAAGCGGAGCATGAGCTGTCTTCGCAGGCCTTGCACCGGTTCAGGCACACGAGATAGATTAATTATTGTCTTTTAAGTTACTGTGATTTGGTGTTATTGTGTATATTCTGTGTTGTATCTTTCGTCTCTCAAAACTTGTGTTAAGTTCTTTTTCGTGGCTTTGGACACTCTGTGCTGTCAGTGTGCACGTTAGCTGCAGGTCGGTATCATGCTAAACAGTTAGCTGCTAGGCTGTTTGTTTGTAGCCCCGTAGGCCGTATTCGTGACATAAGTTACGTCCTTTTTGCAGCGTAGTTTACGCGCGATGGCGCAGGAGCTCATGTAAAGTGCGACGTACGTCATTTCGAGAATATCAATCCGTCCAAGTTGTATTCTGAAAGGCCGTTTACGTGCGGAGCTGTCACTTGCTCTCAGTGGACAAGGCGACGTACTGACACACATGGGAGGTTAGCGAGGCAAATATGTTGACACAAAGTTGTGTCTTGTGTTCATTGTTGCTGATGAGTAACGTTAATCGTGACACTCCGCTTCGTTAGCTTCTCTGATTTCCTCGGATAACGTAAACTTGTATAAAGAACCTAGCTACGTGATACGAAATAGTAGCAAAATGGCTGATACATTTTGTAGAATTATTAATTTAGGTGTCAAATTACGTTTATTCGCTTCACTGTCTTGGCGTTTGGTCTCTTATTGAGATTAGCTGCGACATGTGCAACCAATGTTAACTGGATGTGAACGCACTTCCATAATGTCAAGATTGGATAGACACGGTTTTTGAGTAGATCCTCAGGATACGGTCATATATAACTATTTTTTAAACCTCAACCACAGTCTGTTGGTCTGTTAGAATTCACATTGGTGTGGCAGTGTTTGTTTCGGTTTCTTTTAGGAAAGAGAGAGACCCCTGGCATGATGCCATTGAAAAGCTTTGTATTATGGATCTGTAGCAGGCATTTGTCTTGTGTAAGCATTGTATATATGTATTTAATATTCACAAGCTCTGATGAGAAAATCAGTCTTATAATGATTTGGGTCTTTGGTGGAAGAAATTCAGCGGCCATCAAGACGCATTAAGCTCACAAAAGACAATCTGCTGACTTTGTTTGAGCATAGACAGATTGTCACAGACAGTTTCCAAAAAAAGGACCTTTGAGTCACATACACTATCAAAGGCATCTAGAAACTGTCAAGGTTCAAGGTCAGAGTTCAATATATTAATCCATAAAATCATGGAAATTGCAGTACATCCTTGTCAGCTTGCTTATCTGACAGTCTGTAACACACCTCCTCACAACATAAACTATAGCTATATACAACTATGTAAGAACCAATAAAATGGCAGCAAATAATTTACATGCACATGATGAAAGGAGCCAGTTAAAATGTAAGAGCCACTGGGATAGTGAGAATTATGTTGTTCTTACAAACCACTCATTGTACTGTCTAATTCTCTGGGAAGTACAGAAGCGAGCATACGATACATTCTGTCTGCATATTGTCCTTAACTTGGAGAAACAAAGTGGAAGACATTAATTGTCAGCAGAATCAAGACAAAGTCATAGTGGTCAGAGCAGATGGATGATAAAGTGCTACAGCGGTGTAGAAATGTCTAAGGTGAAAGGTAATGACAGCTCAGAAACCTCATATTAAGGCATCAGAACTGGGTCAAGAGGCTGTCTTGGGCTATGAATTGTGTACTGTGTGTATTATGTAATGTGCAAGTCTCATCTAGACAGTACTGGTTAGAGTAGTGTTTCACAACGGGGGCGGTACCGCCCCCCAGGGGGCGTTCCGAGGACGATGGGGGGCGCTGGAAACAATATTTTGGAAGGGGGGGGCACTGAGCTGCTGTTGGGGGGGCGTTTGTTGGTTGGAAATTCTAAGGCAAGTTTACACTTAAGATTCACAACAATAGGAGTTTAAACTTTAAACTACTTGCAAAAAACTGTGGTCTGCAACATTATAACCTGCCAGTTTAGTCCACTGCGACTGGACAAAACTGTATTTTTTTCTCGGTCAGCTACTTGTGGTGCAGCTTCGTGCTGTCTTCACGGGAACGGGGAATGGCGTTTACTGTGTAAACTCTGGGGAAATTTACGTTCTCTTTCTTGGTGAAAATGTGTTTATTTCTCTGAGGAATATACTGTGAACGTTTTGTTATTGCAGTGGTTACACATTTATAAGAGGGATATCCGCTGTCGGACTCACCCTGAAAGCAACTTCGCTGCGACACTAGCGAGTGACGTGGACCCACCTCACGCTGTGAGTTGCAGACAGTTTGTGCCAAAGCGGACATATACTGTAGTTTCAGTAGGCTATAAAAATGTAACGTTAAAAACTGAAGCCCTGTCTTGCTCTGTTGGGGATTGTAAGCAGAACTTTATCAGAGGTGCTGAAGTGTGTGGAATTATTCGTCAGCTTTCTGTCTGATCACAGGTGTTGTCGGTTAGTTTCGTTTTCGACAGGTGTGGCACGACACCGGCATGAGCACCTCCTCGTCTCATTCAGTTTTGTCTGTTAGACGGCGAGGGGATACTTCCAGCGAATCAGTAACGTAATGCAGTATAAGGCATGTAGTAACATATTATGAATTCTCTCTAAATAGGCTAATGACGTTAGTCACCCATTACGACTTTTTTTCTTTACATGTCTCAACATATGTGGGAGAGATTCGAGTGCAGAAAGTTTTGAACATGAGCAGATAAGTTACAGTGTTTCCCACACGTTCATTTATTTGTGGCGGCCTGCCACAATATCAACATTGACCGCCACAGTGATTTTCAATTGTTTTTTTTACTAGGCCTATTTAAAATCATAGTTGAGCTGCAGGCAGCGTGTATTCACGCAGCATATCCTCTCACTCGTCTCTCATCCGTCCCTCGATCTCTCTCTCTCTCTCTCTCTCTCTCTCTCTCTCTCTCCCTCGTTAACACAAATCTGTCCAACACAACGCTGTCACCCAGCTATTAAAAGTTATTAGCAAGCATGTAAGGAGCTAATAATGAGAGCTAAGTTAGGGGTCGGTTTACCTGACCTGGATAATGGATAGGGGGACGCTGGCCCAAAAAAGTTTGAGAACCACTGGGTTAGAGAAAGATCATTTCCACGAAGAATTCATAAACATTTTGTAATTGACACTGGATCTGTTGTAAATATAGCACAGGAATGTGAATGTGAAATGAACTGGTTAGAAAAACAGGGACAACAAAGCACTATCAAATTTCTAATGTGTGATTAAGCAACAAAACATTTGTTTATGTTGTTCCTGCTCTCTTCTTTGCCTGTATTATGGACTCTGATTACGATTGCTTGTTACACCGCATGGCCAAACGTTAACCTGGTAGTGTATTTAAACGTTCGTATGAAACAGTCCACAGATGATATGTTGACCCAGTTTTAATCAAGCATCCTTTTTTCATACATATATATATATATACACACAACACACACACACACACACACACACACACACACACATATCACTCTCTCAGGTGTGACACTCGGCCCTCTGACTGTGTGTTGCCCCACAGGGTGTCACTGAAGAACCTCCGGTGTTACCTCAGGAAATTGTCGCCTCACCAGCTGAGATATGGTCACACAATTGGGTTAGACCACAGCTCCACAGCAACAAACATGTGAGTCTTTAAATGTTTCGGAATTACCCATTTGGTGTACTAAGGATTTGATAATAGAGATGTTGAACTCACCAGTTGCAAATTATGGTCTGTTAGTATAGCTGGATACTGCATACATGCCCTGACCAGGTTATCATGCTAAATCATTTTTTTCTTTTTAATGGTTTTGATTGGTCAGTATCACATTTCTAATTCGGAATTTCCCCCATAGTTTTTACTGATACAGACTAGGGTGTAGGTGAAAAAATTAGTTCTTAAGACGCTTTTCGACCAAAGGTACCAGGGACTTTTAAGTCCCCAGATCTCTTTTCAAGGAACTAAAAGGTTCCTTCAGCCCACTGTTGTGTGCGTTTCTACAATGGTCTAAAGACCTGCGAAGATAAGGCAAATTAACCAGCTGACATAGGCTGAAGCCATACAAAGCGATGCACAGGCATCATTATTTGTAACCACTATCCATGAGCAACATTATAAATGAACATCAGATTTGACTGGAATACAATGAAAAACTATAGGCTTTACTTGACCATTAAAGCAGCTTTTTTTGCGTGGGAGCTATAATGAAGAGACACACGATAAAGTCCGTTACACATTTAATAACAAACTGGATAAAGCCATAAAGTACTTAAAGTAACCGGTTTGCAAACAACTGTGGAAAAGAGACGAGCAGTTGTAGAAAACCAGCCGACATTCTCCAGTTAAAGCCAGTAGCCTCTACTCGCCCATGCAGAATTTCACAGCAAGGCAAGCCCCAGCCCCCCAAAGTACCGGTACTTTCGGAAAGTACTACCTGCCGAGCAGTGACTTTTTGGGGGGTAAAATGAAGACCCCAGAATTACATTTAAACCCTGGTCCTCTGGTGGAAAAACAGTGAGTTCCTCCAAAAGGTTCCTTGTTCCGGGGTATAGTTCCTTTGGTTGAAACGCAGCTTTAGATGCATCGTGACGTGGTTGATTATGAATCGATTCACAAATATCAAAAATTAAGTTTTCTAACACACATTGCCTTTACTTGGGCATGCCGCCCAGGTATATTAACGACAAAGATACCTGGCGGCCATGTTAGCATTTTGCAGACAAACACAAAGAGAGTTGTTATTTATTATGTTATAAGACACAGACACGTGGCTATTTTGCAAGCACGGATGTAAAGCAACTATGAACACACCAGTGCGGATGTCATTTGTTAGCTACCAAGTTTTGTTTTGTTTTGATAAGCTACGTCATTAACAAGCCTCCTCCACATGTGGTGCAACTGCTGCTAAAAAAGGACTCGTGGGTGGAAAAAATCCACATAAAAAGTTCTGTGTCTTTTCAGTGACTTTATAAAACATTCTGCTGAATGGGAGATGCGGAGATACAACGTTCCATCTTGAACAAGTATGCTGCTTCAGACACAATTTACTTTTCCTGTTGGTTCTTTGCAATGCTGGGACATGCTGGCAAATGTAACCTTCCAGCAACATTGTTGCCATTTGTTTTATTATATTGGAAGTAAATTCATTATGGATCATGACAAATATCTATCTTACTTACTTACATTTAAAATACAAAGTAATCACACACTGATAAATAAGAGGTCCTGTATAGACAGAATCGATACATCAAGATGCATGAATAATCTTTTTGTCATAATATCACAGCCCTCTGAATCGAAGGGGGACTAGAGATTCCCACCCCTAATACAACTGCATTACCTGAAAGTAAATTGCTAAATTCTACGCTGTTCAATGGGTTGTTCTTATTGCTGCATGATATAACTGCCAGATTCTTGTGTAAATAAATCAAAGGTTTTATTCAGCACAGTAATTGCATGTTAATGTGTACTTGGTGTACTTGCCATTGGTAACACATAAAAAAATGTTCACTACAATATTTCCTCATAGCCCAGAATCTGCCTTCTGTCCAGTCCATTGTCCAAAACTGCTTCTCATTTTTGACAGTGAAATTCCAAACAAGAAATTAATTGTCAATGCCAGATGGACAGCATGCTGATACTAACATTGTACTGATGTGTAACAAAAAAAAATGTTTATCTGGCACCTGTAACTGCTGGGTGATCATCTAAAAGAGATCCCAAGACATTCCTCACCTAACTTTCTTCCTTCTTGCTCGGGCCTCTGCTTTTTACCATCATACATTATTCAATATTTTCATTATAAATAGCAACATCTGAGCATTGCATATGTTATGAATTTGAACTTATACCTTGTTATTCAGAATCTTTCACTATCATTGAGCTGGTTGGATCATTTTGAAAAGTATCAAGGAGCGTATATAGTATTGATCTGTTGCAATTCAATAACAAATACAGGCACTGTACATCAAAATGAACACTAACCATAAAAAAAACAGTAACCATATCTTCTGGAAATGTAATGCCAACTTAGTGTGCTTATTTAGCGTAAATTTGTGAAAAGTATTTTTATGCAACAGTGTCATTGTATTTTCTGTATTGTATTTTGCATAATGTAATTAATGTCTTATAGCATAAGTAAATGTATTTATATTTTCCAATTCTATTTTTACCTGATGAGGCAGAAAGGCAGTCTGTAAACAGTCTTTATTTGACCTTAAACCATTAGTCAATATTTATGTAGCTGGTCTGGAATTGTAAACGAAGATGTGTCTTCAGTGCATGATCCCTTTTTATTTTTTTATTTTTTTAAAGACAAAATACGACGAGGGACAGAATGTCGACTACATTAAACTACATTAAGACAACTTTTTCCTCACGCAGTGAAGAACAAATGTATAAGTGATGAGAATCAACTCCAGACACGCTGATGCAAAACCGGCATAATTGTGATAGTAATCAAATTAACCCACTCTCACGCTGTGAGTCCAGACAGTTGTGACGATTGGTAACGTAGCTGGTAGACCTTTGTCATATAAACATCTAAAATCTAGGCCCAACCTTGCTCTGTTTGGGACTGCGAGCTGCACTTTAGGTGCTGAAGTTAACGTGTGGATTTGTGGTGAGAAGTGTTTATTTCTAGAAAAGAAACTACCACATAACTAACTACAAGAACTTGCCAGGCTACAACAATACTCACTGATTCCCTATGTTATCAAATTGCCTGTATACTAAATCTGGCACGTGCCCCCATTTGTTATGACCTGGCTCAAGTGGTCATAACAAAAGGGAGACACAGCACTGTAACCGTTTAACAAAATATATATATACCAAACTAAGCCAAATGAAGAATTGTGCTAAATTAAAGTTGTCAAAGGATGACGTATGACCATCGGTTGTTTCAGTAGTGTCTGGGGAAAGAACCAGAGGGCAGTCGGCCTACAGGGACGTCTGTCCCCTCAGCCCCGCAGCAGCTCCCTAAGAATGAGAACACGGAGTTACAAATACTCTACAGGGCATTGGGCCCAGGTACCCAGAGTTACTGCAATCAGCCTCAGTTCATCACCAGCAAGGGAGAGAGAGATTGGCCACGCTCACACATGACCCCACAGGGCACATATAATTCAGTATTGAAGCTTTCTTAAAAAATAGTGTTAAAATTTAATCTGGTCTCGATCTCGTAAACCCCTTACGTGTCTCGTCTTGTGAGCGGAGTGTTTTTGTCACACCTCTATTAGTTTCATATTTGAGGTTGAGTGGTTGGTTTGATGTCTGAGGTATGTTAATGACGCTGACTGTGGTTTGTATGAGAAAGTTTCAATCAGAGTCAGATATGCTAACAGGCACAGTAACGATAACAGGAGAGGCAGCGGTTTTGAAGCTTTTGATTTGATTGTCCTTCCAGAGCGTCAAGTGAGGAGTGTAATGGCCTGAGGGGGGTTCCCCCGGTCCCACCTGCCCCTGCCAGGTCCAATCTGCCTAAACTGTCTGCTCAGCCACTGCAACCCACCACAGCGATGGGAGACGGACTGGAGGCAGGCAGCAGCCATAACCCTCCCTCGGCCCCAGCGCCTCTCCCCTTCAACCCTCCACCCCCTGAAACATGGAACCCCTCCAGACCCAAACGACAGACCAACCAGCTACAGGTATTTCTGTTTGTGTTTATACATGTAATAGTGTCTAGTGTTTGGACTTAAATTTGATTGATTTATTTTGTTTTTTTGTATGATTTTGCTCTTTTTCAGTTCCTGCTTAAAGAGGTGTTGAAGACGTTATGGAAACATCACTTTGCATGGCCCTTCCAAGCTCCTGTAGATGCCATCAAACTCGGTTTGCCTGTGAGTCACGTGTTTGTATGTTTGCGTGCCTGTAATCAAAGTGTATACACTGACCGCATCAAAACCTGTTTTTATAGACTTGCTTCCTCAATTGGCCCATTGTGACTGCTGACTTGACTTCGTCACTTTAATGAAAATACGGTTATTATTTATTTATTTATTTATTTATTTGAATCCGCTTTAGCTGTTACCAACACAGCAGCTACGCTTCCTGTACTACGAAGGGAGTTCAACCTGACTCAGAGATAACGCGGGTTTATTAAGCAAAGCCAGGGTTGACAAACTTTGACTGCCTACACTGGTGTTAAACTGTACTACAATGGTGGATAAGATGTTAGTTAATTGAGTCGGTGTTAACTTAATTGGAGTTGGTGCACGTTTGCATGAAAGTGGTGTGTTCGGACGTGCAGTCAGAGTTTTTTCGCAACGGCACATGCTCCGGATTTCCCCCAGAAGAATGCACGTTGATAGTGTCAGAATGTGACAAGTTTAAAGACATGTTAACAGCATAATCTAATATCGTGGCAGCCGACAAAGCCATGGAGGCTTGTGGGCATCGCATTGAGTAAATTTGTAATGATCTTCACAGTGTTCTTAATGTAGGTTCATTTTCTGTTTTGTATTTGATGAACTCTTCTTTTATGTGTAGCTCTATATGATTAAGATGTAAAGGTACAACTGCATATTATGTCCATTGTAATAAAAAAAAAAAAAAAATGGAGCGGGATGGGGAGAGGGAAAAAGAATTGATGAATGTGGTAGATTTACGAGAAGTTAATAATCACAAATCTACAAGTTAAAAACTTGAATAGTCTCTGACATTATAGTCATACATTTATGAGAAAAAACTTTTGAAAAATTTGTGAGAAATAGTGGAGTTTTTTTTTTTTTTTTGTCAAAGAACCACATCGCTTGACTTTGCAGGGCTGCAACATCACACACACACCTCTGCCGTGTATTATGCATGTAGTGGATAATTATATTAGACTTCATAATCGGATTTAGCAGTGAGGAAATATCGTGAGTTTAGCCCACAATCACTAGACTATCATGCACTTTAGAGACTTTGCCGTGAATTGCCTATTCAGAAGAAAACAGCAGAGTGATTTGGATTTTTCGTGACTTTAATTTTAGGGAATTTCCAAATTTTGTTCTTGTAAATTTACCCCTTTCATCTTGGATTATTTTTCTCGGTTTATTAACCCCCACCCTTGGTCAGTAGGCCTACTTTTTTGGACACGTAAATTAGTCACTCTAAATATGTGAAAACAGTTAGGATAGCTTAATTCAGTCATAGCCTACAGATGGGCTACATCTCTGAAACTGTCCCGTTATTTAGCCTAATTAAGATATTCTCCCTAACATCACAGAGGCTGCAGTGTTCGCTGTATGAACATAATGCTGTTGTGTTAAGAGTAACGTAATTTCAGCTGCAACCGCAGACTAATAAATCAAGTGGTGTGTATTAATAGCCTACTTCTCATCATTAACACTGTGTACAGATGTGGAGTGTAGTCCGTAACCTCGAGTAAACCATGAACATAACCTGCTTGGAGCAGTTTAGAGATTCAGCTTAAATTGCCATGGCAACAGACCTCGGTTAATACCTATCCACCTTTTGTAGTACAGGTTAATCGGGAAGTTACACCCATGTCGCACAGTTAATCCTGAAGTTACCTGGATAAGCCAGTTACTTCGCTGCGTAGTACAGGCCACTGGTGTCCAGCAGAGTTTTGCTTTCCAGAGGAGGAATGTCAAAGTGAAATAACGTGCACTCCAAAGCCACTTTATATGCTCTACAATATGCTGTAAGGACCCAGCCACCAGTATTCTATATTTTAGCTGTCAATCAATCCAATTGACCAAAACAAGCATGCATTGTATCTTTAATATTTGCCAATTTCTCCAGCATGTGTCTATGTGTGTTGCTCTCAGCCTTGAGCCCAAATGGGTCACAAATACATTCTTTTTTTTTATGATAGGTTAATTATTTAGTTAAAACAGCTGGGCACTGTTGTTTTTAGCAAACATTACTCAAACAGTAATTAGTGTATATATTGTGGGCTATTTTCATCCATGAATTTTGGTGCACTAGTAAATATTTACAGCAGCATGGAAATAAATGTGGAATTGCAGTGGTGTTGCTCATTGATGTGTTTTTAATATTATAGACCATGTGCCAGGCCAGTGCACCTCTAATGTGTGCTGCAGGTAACAGTTGACGTAGTTGATGTGACTTGTACATTTTGGACTGATTAAAGAAGATGATTAAAAGGCATAAGCATACATTGTGTGTTTTGTTTTCTCACATTCTTCACTTACCTTTGTCTAGACAAGCTACTAACGCAAAACTCACTACCTGATCTCCGTCTCCCTTAAGGACTACTATAAGATCATCAAGATCCCTATGGACATGGGCACGATAAAAAAACGTCTGGAGAACAACTATTACTGGAATGCCCAGGAGTGTATCCAAGACTTCAACACAATGTTCACAAACTGCTACATCTACAACAAGGTCAGCCATCGGCCACATAAGTTCCAGTTACTTGTGTCTTCCCTGAATTTGAAGTTCAGAGAGGATAGAGCAATTCATTACCGTACTCAAGGAAAGCATCTGAACGAAAAGCTTATCTAAACATGTGTTTGTGTGTTTAGCCTGGGGATGATATTGTCCTAATGGCAGAAGCTTTGGAAAAGGTATTTCTCCACAAGATCACAGAGATGCCGCAGGAAGAGACTGAGATTGCTGTTGTCACCAAGGGACGCCGAGGGGGCAGACGGGAGCCAGGTATGAGTTTCGGATGTAATATGTTTTTCTTCAACAACGTCTTAACACCGAGATGAGAGTCTGGTATACCACTGTCGTCCCTCAAAACCTATTTCCCACTCTTTGTCAAAATGGCACATGTCGATCTGAACGCCATGGCATCGAACATAATGAGCGTGTTCAGACTCGTGTTTCTTACTGTACGCTGTTGTTGGCAAAAGAGGGATAGGAAGTTCTTTGCCACCAGGTGGTTGTTTTTCAGTCATTGTGTTTGCAAATCTTCTGAAGCCACTCACTGAAGATATTAAGGTTGACCGCGTGAGAGGCGAGGAGTGGGGCTGCACAGAGTGTGCACGAGCAGTGATTTGCAGTTGTTTTGCAGTCAGACTCCTCCTGGCTCTGATCATTTGTTGTGACTCATGAGTGGTAGATTCTTGCAAATGGCATTAGGAGCAGTAGGAACCAGATTTATATTTTCACAAATAATGTCTTGTGTACTACTGTATAAAATTATTTTCATAAAAGTTACCTACAGAACCTTTAAAGTTATACATGATTACTGGCAGGCCAGTTTGAATGAGGGTGGGTGCTTTCACACGTGGCCAGCCAGTAGGTTGGGCTGCATTCAGCCTGCCTAAGCACCCCCTCTTTGCCCATTTTGGAGAAGCCTGAGTCAGGGACTTGGATGGCAACAGCTAGAGCCAACCAGATTCAGCTTCACAACAGAAACCTATGGGTGATGTCACGGAGACTACTTCTGTGTTTTATACAGTATATGGTTCTCCCTTTACATCAACTACAACTAGCATGAAACATTTATTGTTGCTGCTCGTTAGCCACGTTCTATGCCATTGTTCATAATCCGTCCAACGAAGGTTGAGGTCAAGGGCAACTTGATGTGGTTGAAAATACTAGAAGACGTTTTCGTCCATCAGTTCTTCAGAACTGAAGAAGTCTCTTGGGTGAGGGACGAAACATCTTCTAGTATTTTCAACCACGTCCAGTTGCCCTTGACCTCAACCTTCGTTGGATAACTATGACCGGGATGACTGAGAACCTTCGCAGACTACTTTAAACCTACTTTGGTGTTCTACTTGATTTTATCTTTACAATCTTCTTGTCTTTTTATTCTTCTTTCCAGCTCTGTTCACTAAGTCAGATTCAGGCCAAGACTCATCGTCCCCCTCCACCACCCCACACACACGAGGCTTCTCATCCCCTGCAACTACCCCGCAGACCCGTACGATACCCGCCCCTCAAGGCCCTCCCACCCTAACCCAGTCTCTGCCCCAGACCCAGCCTCTGTCCCTGCCCCTGCCCCTGGCCCTGCCCCTGCCCCTGGCCCAATCTCAACCCCCCCGCGTGCCTCCTACACCCACCTCCCACACACCCCATTTGGGACCTCTGTTCCCCCTCTCAACACCCGACGTCTTGGCCCAGGGCATGACCTCTGTTCCCCTTCCAGCCCAGACACACCCGGGCCTCCATCCTGCCCCGATGCTGCAGAGCTCCCCTGCCCTCATCAAGGTAAGGACAAGTCAGCTAGTAGCTGGGACCTGTACTTGGATCCATGTTTTATACAGTCAGTTGAGTCGGGGTCAGGTCCTGCTCTATTTGCATGGGTCCTGGGTCTGTATAACATTATGTGTAATACCCAAGTGGATCAAAGAAGACCTGGCCGTGATCAGACAGCGCTGATTATAATGGAAATGTCGAGTTATCTTAAGCTAATTGTAAATGAGTCGTGTTTGTTATGACAGCAAATGGACTTTTTGAGCTGAAATAATGACTGGAGTAGCCACTGGGGTATTGTTTGTCCCCCAGGTTCGGGTCAGACATTTCTCAGTGCTGTATGGGTCCCAGCTTTCAAATAATAGACAGGTTCGATTCCTGATACTTTTGTGTACAGATTTTTTGGGATCTGTGAATACCTCTAGTCTGCAGCCATTCTTTTTAATCACAAGCTGATTTTTTTTTTTAACCTCTGATCTCTGATGTTCCAACAGCAAAGGAAGAGCCAGAAGAGGAAAGCAGACACCACCACACCCACCGCCAACGACCAGCTCAGTGAATCATCGCCTGTCTCTGCTGAGACTCGGCCACGGCGAGAGAGCAGTCGCCCATCTAAGCAACCCAAAAAAGACGCATTGCAGCCTGACTCTCAGCACCACCTGGGAGGCGGTTTGGAGACTGGAGGGACAGGTACACAGAAGCGTCAGGAACAGTTGCGTTCCTGCGCACGCCTCGTCAGAGAGATGCTGTCTAAGAAACATGTAGCATATGCCTGGCCCTTCTACAAGCCTGTTGATGTAAAAGCTCTTGGCCTGCACGACTACCACGACATCATCAAGCACCCCATGGATCTCAGCACCATCAAGGTAATTTTATTAGGATTGGTGACCGACATGTAATGGACATAGCAACTCCTGGGTTTTGATACATTACATATAAATGATATGCTTTTCTATACAAAATCCTTTGTTTCATTTAACAATATAACTACACATACAAGAATGTTACCTAAAATGCAGTATAGAATGATAGGAGATGAAACAAGGATTATATGGTGTAAAATGGGTAAAGAATATCAAGAGTCTGATTAAACATGCATTTTCTTTTGGACTTCTTTTTAGCTCAATACTAAGGTCTCCTAGTCTCCTAAGTGTCCATTTAGAGAGAAATCATATTTCCGTACTTGTAAGCTTATTATAGTTGGTTTTATAGATACAGTTTGCATAGGTTTTGGTTATGGTGGTGCGTTTGTTTGTCTCCTTTAGAAAAAGCTGGACAACAGACAATACAGAGACGCGCAAGAATTTGCAGCGGACGTCCGGTTGATGTTCTCCAACTGTTATAAGTACAATCCCCCAGACCATGATGTGGTTGGCATGGCACGCAAATTGCAGGTAATCAACACGGCATACATGTCAAGCAATTCACAATAAAGATTATACACGCTATATGACCAGGGCCAGATTACTTGAGGGCAAAATGACCTGTGAGCCCCTTGACTCCCCTGTTTCTCCAGTATAGTATTCAGGTCCAGTAAATTTGACATATATGTATTCCCTGTATAGTGTGTTTCCATGTAGATGCACGCTAACGATAACATTCTTTTTTTCAGTTTTTCATGGACATCTTCAAAATGCTTGAAATATGAAAAGAATGATATTTGTCATTGCATTGATTGCTCTTTGGCGAGGTTTGTGCTGGCATGATTTGTGGTTCAAGTAGGGTTCACAGTTTCTCCTGCCGTCCTACGTCCTAACAGGACGTGTTTGAGATGCGTTTTGCCAAAATGCCTGATGAGCCAGAGGAGCCCGTCTCTGTTCCCACCCCATCATCGGCCCTCCACCCTGCCCCCTCCAATCGACAAGCCCCGCCTCCTTCTGCTGTCTCGGACGACGATAGCTCCAGTTCCTCTGAATCGGAGTCCTCTGGAGGAGACTCAGAACAAGAAAGGCAACAGCGATTGGCTGAGTTACAGGAACAGGTTAGAGGATGGAAAATGAAGGGGGAGGGAGGCTTATGAGACACGACAGGTGGGTGGGCCACGCAGAACAGCTTTACCGAACGTGGGTGAATGCTGAAACACGGAAAAACAAATGTGTAGGCTGCTGTCTTTTCGTCTCTTAAGACCACAACTGTCTTTGTGTTTGTGTCCTCTAGCTTAAAGCTGTCCATGAACAGCTAGCAGCACTTTCCCAGCCCCAGGCCATCAAGCCCAAGAAGAAAGAGAGGGAGAAGAAGGAGAAGAAGAAAGAAAAGCACAAGAAGAAGATGGGAGCAGAGGAACCTGTGGAGACACCTCCCTCTGTGATGCTTCAGACTTCTAAGAAAAACAAGAGCAGCAAGGAACCAATCATTGCAAAGAAGGAAAGGAAAAAGCCCGGGTGGGTGTTACAGAGCTAATAAGATAAATTGTGTTATTGTAGCCCCCCGCGACCCTGTACACAGGATAAGCAGTTTACGATGGATGGATGGATGGTGTTATTGTAGCTGCATTAACTGGAGCTAATCTAATCATTTCTCAATTGCAGTAAGAAAGAAGGAGTTAAAAATAGCCGCCCAGCTGTGCCCCCGCAGCCTGGGCCAACCCCTCTGGTCCCCTCTGCCTCTCTTGAAGCAGAGGATGACATAGGTATGTAAATGAGATGTGTTGAGCGTGGTGTTGTTTTCAAAGTGTTTGTGTCTTTAACACTGGCCCAGTATCAACCTGCTGTTGTGGTTTTCCTCTAGATGAATTTGGGGGGGTTTCCACCGACAAGTGCAAGCCAATGTCATACGAGGAGAAGCGCCAGCTGAGCCTGGACATCAACAAGTTGCCCGGTGACAAACTGGGCCGTGTCGTGCACATAATCCAAACACGTGAACCTTCGCTGAAAAACTCCAACCCGGATGAGATCGAGATTGACTTTGAGACACTGAAACCCTCCACGCTGAGAGAGCTGGAGAAGTACGTCTCCAGCTGCCTCAAGAAGAAGAAAAAGCTGTCAGGTATGCTGGTTGTATGTGTGCGCAACACTTATTTTAAGGGATTGCCACAGGACTTTTGTGATCCCACTAAATCTCACCATTGTAGCACTTGCAGGTCTTGTTCTACCACTCATAATTAAATTGTGCTTAACCACTGAGCAGTGAAACGTCTTTAAGACTACATACAGTAGAAAGACTACTCCCAACTCCTGGCTTACAGGCCATAGACTACACAGGAATGACTGCTTTTCAGTTAAATTGACAAAAAAAGCAAAAATAACCTGTATAAAAATTGTTATTTCAGATGTTGTTATCATAATTGAATATAATCAAGGGCTGGTCGATTATTTAATATTACTATTTAGCGACCTTCAGTGTAATCGAAGTGATTTTTATTCTTAGTTTTGTTTGTTTTATCCTTTTCCTGTCATGTCACGGATGACAATGGAACACTGTTGATATAATTTCAGATCAGTTTGATTACATTGCATGTTATTTACCATACGTTTGCTATATTACGACATACAGTATGATTATAATAAATTATAAAAATATTAAAGGAATTCTGTGACATTTTGCGAATACTTTTCAAGATGAGAAGATTGATATTAGTCCGCTATCTGACGGTTAAGTATCAGGCTACAACCAGCAGCCGGGCATCTTACCTTTAGCACAAAGATCTGAAACAGGGGGAACAGCTAGCCTGGCTCTATCCAGTGGTAAGTGGCTGCTGGCTGTAGCCTTGTAATAAGATTTTAACAATCTTCTCATCTAACTCTCTAACAGAGCGAACATAAGCGAATTTTTCAAATTTAATATTATTTAATATTTTTATCCATCACAGCCATATTAGCCATATTAAAAAGCCAACAGTGTAGCCCTGAGGAATCACCACATGTTTGGCCAACTGTTAAACTTCTCCAATAAGTTTTTTTACTTCACACTGGTTAAATGTCTTGACCCATCAGTTTCTGACCCTTGTGGGTATCTTTTGTTACAGTAGAGAAGCCTCTGGAAACCACAAATGTGACAAAGATGAAGACAGGATCCTCATCTTCAGACAGCAGCGACTCCTCTGATAGTGAAGACTCTGAGAATGGTAACGTACACACATAACAATAAACACTTTCAGCTAATCTTAACAGTAGCTGCAATTATTCAGTATATCAGCTTTCCTCTTATTTCCTCTATATATTTCATGTACCTTTTGTCTACCAGGGCTGGTTCCCAAGCAGCAGAAGAAGACCTCGACCAACAAAGACACCAAGAGGCTGCACCACCAGTCCATCAATAGCGGACTGGGTCCAGTCGCTTCCCAGCCTCAGATTCAGCCTCAGATTCAGCCTCAAGTGGTCCAGTCCAAACCATCATTTGTCTCCCCTCCACCTATAACCGTGTCTGTTCCGTCTCTGGACTCCTCCCAGCTGTTGGCCTCTGGATTTGATCCTCTGGCTCACTTTATGAACCCTCACCTGACTCAGTCGAATACAGAGCCCAATCCAACCATTACTACTGCCGGTGTCTCTGTTGTGTCTGGCCTCCTCAATGCAAACACGCCGACTGTCCAGGCGCACACTGAGACGCACCCTTTCTTAAACCAACATCCCATCATACCTTCACCAGGTGTGTATACTTTAGTAACACTTTATACAGATTGCATCTCTGTAGTGCATTTTAGAAATGCTTGTGAATGTGACAATATTAAAGCATCTAGCGGCTGCAAGTAATGATTATTTAGTTAATAGCTAACTGGTTTATTATTTAATTGTCAAATGTTAGGAAATAGTTTTCAATTTCCCAGAGGGTGACATCAGATAATTTATTTTGTCCAACCAGCCAGATTATATAATATTTTTACCATGTACAATTTATCAATTTATCGATTAATCAACGGCCCTGCGATGGACTGGCGACCTGTCCAGGGTGTACCCCGCCTTTCGCCCGATGCCCCCCGCGACCCTGTACGCAGGATAAGCGGTTGACGATGGATGGATGATTAATTTAATTAATTTGTCTGGCTTTATTAGCTCTGCTGGACACAAGTTGGGGTTTTTTTGGTCTCATTTCCCATTCCTCTCTTTCTGTGTCATTTGCAGCGATCCACAATGCTCTTCCCCAGCAACCATCAAGACCTAGCAACAGAGCAGCGCCACTTCCTCCAAAAATCCCACAGCCTCCCCCCGTCCTCACTCCCCTCCCTACCTCCATCCCCCTCACCCCAGCTTCAGCCCTCACTTCCACTCCCTGTACCCGAGCCCGTCGCCCGCCCCCGCGTCCCTTCACCCCCATCGCATGGCATCTTGGGTACCCTCTCGGCACAACCTCCCCAAGCCCTCCTAGAGGACGACGAAGAGATGACGCCCAACAGCTCTGACATCATTCCCCTCAGTCAAGTTCACACCTTGTTGCAGTCGCTCCAGGCTCGACCCACCCCGCAGCCGCTACATGCGCACACACATTCACCAACGCAGGGCGCCTCTCAGATGGTTCCATCGATGCACACGCAGGCTGTGGCAACGTCCATCCCTGCCCTGACACAGAGGCACAGCTCAGGCCATGCGCATATGCGGCAGCCGTTCCCACACCCACACATGTCAACATCGCAGCAGCAGAAGGGGGTGGCCCTGCAGCAGAAGGTACAACAGATGCAGCAACATCAACAGCAGCCATCACCACGCAGCAAAGCAGAGCCTTTCTCAACAGGTAAGATCTATATATTCAAGCCACTGGTTCCCAAAGTGATGATCTGGTCCACCCAAGATGATAACAGTAAAAAGAGGAATACATGTTATTAATAAATAGCTGCTGTTGGGGTTTACTAAGTGAAGTATTAGTGAAGTAACAGTATCGCAAAAGGAAAGGGCAATTAGATCTTGAAAACCAACCAGCCAAAAACCAAAACAACATTAAAAGCATTGCCACGGCAAACAGAACAAATACCTGCTCTTAAACCTTTTTGTTTGTTTTTTTTTTACACACACTATAGCATGTTGAGTAACTACTAAATAACAGGACAATTAAACAGCTGCTGTGCTAAAAGTAGTGAATGGAATGGAATTCAGACTAATACTTACATAAATACATACATTACATACATTTACTCATTTAGCTGATGATTTTATCCAAAGCGACTTACAATTGCTATACTGTGTGTCAGAGGTCACACACCTCTGGAGCAACTAGGGATTAATTGTCATGCTCAGGGACACATTGGTGGATGTGTTGAGGGGGAATTGAACCCAGGTCTCCCACACCAAAGGCATGTTGATGCTCTACAATGGTAAATGGATGGATAAAATTTGCAATATATCTGTTTTTCTAGGTTGTCTGCATGAGAGCCCTTCTCCCCTGATGATGCATTCTCCACAGATGCCTCCGTTCCATACAATGGGACAGCAGTCACCCCCACAGACCAAGAAACATGTGAGCGATCCACCTTTTTCTTTATGCTGGTTGCATGCCTTGACTGTATTTGCTTGACAACTGCATGCACGTCGCAGGTCCATTCCAAGTAGGCGATGAAAAACGATATAATATTCTTTGTGTGGTTAATCAATGGTGATCAATGATCCGAACGTCCCACGAGGTGCGGACGTCTCGGCACAACACCGGCGGAGCTGAAGTGTTCCCCTTCTGCCACACACACACATACATAAACACGCTATAGCCACACATGCACACTGACGCCCCCTTCCTAAAGAGTTGTGGTTACAATTTTGGATTTATTCACGCACATGTTGAAATTTAAATCATAACAGGCTATACCTGTTGGGAGAAAAACAGTAGTTCTATGGAAAATAAGACACTGAGCACCCCCATTTCGCCAAAACGGTATGAGTCTCGTTTCATAACGCCGCTGTGAAGCTTCGACGGTGAGATTGACAGTCGAATCAGACTCCGCACATTGAAGCATTGAATCTTTGACTATTCGGGGTCAGCCCTAGTGAGCCAGTTTAAAGGTTAGATATACACAAATGTTAAAAGGAAAAATCATCACTTTTTTGTTTTGTTTGTGGTTTTTGACTATAGTATGAACTATGTATATAAATGTACTTCGTGTCTGTAGGAGCAGAGATCCAACATGGTGGCGGTCAAAAAAGAGAAGCCTTCACTGTCGCCAGTTCTGCCCCCCTCGCCCTTCAGCCCGGCCATGCGTCAAGACACACACAAATCTGACACCAAACACAGTGAGTACAAGAGTTTTATTATATCTACCTTATAAACCATCATATCGAAAGCTAAAGAAGAGTGACTTAAACGTTACACGTAGCCAAAGCTGAGCAAAGTGTCAGAATACGTCTGAATCTTAAACAGCAGAATTTCAGTTCCTCTTCTGTGTTACTTATGTCATTCATTTTGTTACTTTGAATTCAGAAATATTTTGCATGCTTCCTTCCAAAGTTATATACAGCCTGACCCCCTGTCCAATGATATAAGATGCATATGTATAGGTAATCCTCATTTGTCTCCCTCAGGATCAGATCTGAAGTCATTGGATGGTTCTCGCCCTGGTTCCCGCCTCCCAGACTCCCCAGCACCACCCTGCTCCCAGCAAGACAACAAAATTAAGCAAGAGCCCAAGACTCCTATCGCTGCCAAGAAGACTCAGGTGTGTATGAGTGTGAGATGAAGAAGATAATGTCTTCAGCCACATTGCAACTTACACTACCCTTTCTGGTTTGTCCGTTTCCTGTCCTGTTAAACTTGCATTTTCTACCCCCTTCTCCCCTTGTCTTCTCTCAGGATGTGAAGTTAAAGAACATGGGTTCTTGGGCTAGCCTGGCTCAGAGGTCCCAGTCCACGCCGGCCTCCTCTGTGCGCTCCTCCAGCGACAGCTTCGAGCAGTTCAGAAGGGCCGCCAGGGAGAAGGAGGAGCGAGAGAGACAGCTGAAAGCACAGGCTGAACAGGCCAGGAGAGAGCAGGAAAAGCTACGGTAGGTGGGGGTGTGCACAAAGCAGATGTCAGCAGCATAAGTGACTATCTTAGAGGGAAACATAGATGGATCAATGAGAAATTATTAAAGGTTAAAGGTATAATTCCTGACCACATGCTCCAAACAAAAAGGGGGCAGCATTTCACCTTCGTGATGACACTGGTCAAGATTGTGTACACTTAAACCTGGCAATGTCCTCAAAAGTATATAGAGAACTTTCCAAATGTACAATCTTGCCTCATCTCATAACAGTAATGCCACGTGGTTATGACTTGGGCTTTCAACAATTACAAAAACAAGGTAATCGAGATAAATTTATTATTATGCTGCATTCTGATGCTCTGGTTTTGTCTTGTGCTAAAAATCCAGTGCACCCCTTTCTTTTACGGTGGTTGTGCAGGAGCCACTAAAAGCCCAAAGTCACTCTCCGCCAGGCTGTGGCATGTTGAGTTCAGCTCGAGTCAAGATGACCGGGGCTTAGAACTGCTTGTTAGCTTAAACCTACGGCATTTTTGCACTGCATAAATCAGTCTAGCGGCCAGCGGATTTTCCTCTTTTCATAGTTTCAAATTACATATCATTTAGAGTCATTTATTCTTTTCTTACTCACTGTTGCTTTAAGCAACTGCATCTTCCTACACAACAGCAGTTGAATTTCATCTTTATGTAACGTAACAAGTTGTCGTCAACCCAAGTAGTTCACCTGCTCTGTGGAAGCTTCAGTAACTGACTCTTGTGGCACCCGGGGCTAGCTGGTTAGCATGATCATTTCAGTAGACAACTAAAATTCTGGCCATATCAACATTGCACTGTTAAGGAATCACACCACATGTTTGCTGCGTGTCGCCCCCTTTCTCTCTTTATCCACTGTCCTTTAAAATAAAGGCAAAAATATCTTTAAAAATTTAAATATGTTAAAAAGCATCACACCCGTGTTATTATTACCATGTATCACATGTTTTAGCCTTTTATTTTATTTTTTTTAGATTTTCAAATTAGTTTTGCCTACCTTCGTTGCAGCTGTTGGTTTCTATTCATTCAGAATACAGAATGAAAATAAACTTGATGAGATGGGTCTCAGTCAACATCTTATCCAGCTTTCATTGTAGTGTCATTGCGTATTAATTTATTTTAAAATACCAATATGATACTCTGACACCTGAGCCAGATGATGGCAAATTCATATAATCCTTTTTATATTGTCAGCGGCCTCTCATTATTTGTGGTGGTTAGTTGTTTGATTTTGACAGGATCCAGTAGCTCATGAGTGGTTTTTAGCAGACTGCCTTGTCACCAACACACCATACAAATCAACTTTCGAAATCACACTTTCAACTGTGGCTCTCACCTCAAGCTTTTCAAATTTCAAAACAACTTAGAGTTAGATTTAACACTGTACAATAGCTGCTTGCAGGGTGTTAGAGAAAGCAAACTGTGGTATGCTTAGAAAAATGGGACAGCATCAGTAATTTTAAAGCTAGTTTATTTTAGAAGCATTTGTTGAATCTCGACATCCTGATAGCGATCTAGTCAAAGAATTTCAACAAATAAAAAAATACTTCTGAAATACCTACCCAGGACGGCTTCCAGAGACAAAAACTGTTTTTTAGTGCTGGCTGAATTCCCATCTACTGTATATGTAGATGTATAATGTGATATTTGACTCACTCCCCAACAAGGCCTATATATTAGCATTTTACTTTATCACCGACTTGTCAGGATCGGTATGTATGTCTGCCAATAGGTAACACGATTGCAGCACAGAAATATCTTTTTAAAAATTCTGAACTTTCAAATAGTATTGGGTGTTGTGCTGATAAATCCAGCATTGGTCGGGTTTAATTATGTTGTGTCTCATGGGATAATCTAGATTTAACAAACCTGTTGCAGCCAGCCATCTAACTTTTTGATTTGTTTTGTTTTGTAGCCGTGATGACGACGACACCATGGAACACACTCGTCGAGCGCAAGAAGATGCCCGCCGTCGCCAGGAGCAACAGTCACCGCTTGCTCCCACACCCCCAGCTTCCACCCCGCCCACTCACTCCCCACAGGCCCCACCCACACAGCCACAAGCCCCACCCCCATCCTCCACACCTGCACAGAATGCTCTCGACCAGAGGGAGATGGCACGCCGCCGCGAGCAGGAGAGGCGCAGGAGAGAGGCGGTACGCACAGAACTTTAAAAAACGGGGAAAAAACAAAGGAAACACTGATTTTTATATTAAAGACAATCTTTAATGCCTCTCGTCGTTCTCTCCTCTCCTCTGCAGATGGCTGACACCATTGACATCAACTTCCAGAGCGACCTGATGGCCATTTTCGAAGAGAATCTGTTCTGAGAGGGAAAAAGCAGATGATGGGAGTGAGAGAAGGACCTGTAGACACACACAAGCAAATTCACAAACATGCATATAAACCACGATGCTCTGATACACATGGTCGCTGCTCACAAAGATGCGCACACACACACACTCACACACACACAGACTTGATAGTAACTGTCCCTTTCTCTCAGTAGTTGAAACAGCTGGCTTGTGTCATGTGAATGAGAGGGGGGGAAGTGAAATTGAAATAAGCAACCCTCTTTTCCTCCAACCTCAGATACGTTTTGGTGTCTGGCTTGGTGTTTATGGTTGTTGGGTCTGGGTCTCCATGGACGACCGGTCGAAGACACAGTGAAATAGTCAGATAGTCGGCTCCCTCAAGAAAAACTAGAAAGGCAGAATGAAAAGGAGGGAACGGAACTTTTACATTTAAAAAATAAATAAAATAATGGCTGTGAAGAGGAGGAGTTTAATTTAAAAAATAAATTGAAAAAACATTTTCTGTAATGTCTGAGAGGAGAGAAGGGGAGGGGTTAAAAGGAACGGGCAAACAAATTACAAATGGACAGATCATTTTGTTTGTGTTTTTTCCTTTCTCCTAATATTGTCTTTTTAATTTTTATTATATGTTGGATTTTAACTGGGAGGGGTGGTGTGGTCTAGTTTGTCAGGTTCAGCTGCAATCTGAGACACTGTTGTTTTCTCAGGACACAGTGCGAACGCAACATCCCGGCCACATTCACACACTTTTCTAAGACATCCTTCCTCCCTTCCCTTCCTTCTAATTTTCTCTCTTCAGTCACTAATTGGAGAGGTGGGGGGTTCAGTGATGGCGAGGGCGATGAGGAAGGAACGATGGCATTTTAAAAGTTTCAGAGTGTGTCCTTTGCCTTAGCGCTCTGGCCTGTAAACTAACAATCATACCCTTCAAATTATACATATTATATATAAATAGATACGTGAATATATATTATATACGACGAAAAGTCAACAAAAAAGAACATGAGAGGAATTTGGATTTCGTGGAGCAAAGCTTGTCTCTGTGTTCATCTCTGAGCTCTGGTTTTGATTTTGTAGAATTTACTGTAAAGAAGAAAAAAACTTTTTTATTCTATCGAGAGGATTGTTTCGTCTGTTTTATTCTCTCTCTCATACATTTTCAGTTTTTTTTTGGGGGGGCGGGGGGTTCTCGACTCTATGCCAAAACCAATCTATTGAGTGCTGAAAGTTCATTCACATTTTTTACATGTAAAATGCATTTTCTTTTCACTTTATATTAAAGGCTATGTTTTTATTGCTATTTAATTTTCCTTTATCCCCTTTTAAAAATGTTATGCAGCAGTGTGCTCTGTAAATGTGTGAAGAAGCGGTTCCCAAATCACTGTATGTCACAACTTTACTAGGCCCCATCATTCTGTAGCTGTTCAATATCTGCACTTCACCATTTCATTACTTACTTCTTTATTTTATTTGAATTTTTATTATTTCCTTTCATCAATGTACATGTTTTTAGTCTTTCTTAGCCATCTCATCCACCACTATCTTCCTCACAGTTCGACAGTCTGTGTAATAGATTCTTGTTTGTCATCTTGTCTTTTAGTTTTTAGTTTTAAAATGTTTTCATCGTTCATGGTAACTGCTTTGGGATGTCGTGTGCCATCGTGTTTTTACTGGAAGCAGGAGGTTTTCCTGGTTCCCTTAGATTGGCCCAGAGATCTGTGAGTGTCGATTCTATAATCCCTTTTTTTTATGTTTTATTTCTTTTCCCTTTTCATATTTGATTGTTTTGAGTTTATTTTGTTTTCTTTTCCCTTTGCTATTTTTCTCTGATTATTTTACCCAGAACAACCCGTTGGTATGTTGGTGAGTGAGGCATTGAGGTCAATAGATTCATCTTGTTCAGATTATGGAGTACAACATCTTTTTTTTAAGAAAAGTATTAAAATATATTTTAAAAAATCATGAACAATATTGTATTTGTCTTTTGTCTTGAGTTATTCACACACATACTGTATTTCTGTAGTCTAAAATGATGAGCCCTGCTACAATGATCTAATTTCAGCCAGAGGGGGGAGCTATAAAAACAGAAGAGATCGGCTACAGTTTGAGTTCTCATTCAATACTATGTACTTGGCATACCTTATATAGTTAAAAGTATCTGAACATGTTTTTGTTTGACCTTTCCTGTTTCAACATGACAATGTCCCTGTGCACAAAGCCAGGACAGTAAGGGACTGCTTTTTCCTGTTTGCTGTGGAAGACCTTCACTGACTTGCACAGATCCCTGACAACACTTTTAGGATGAACTGCAACACTGACTGTACCAGACCACTCAACACCAGGGTCCGACCTCAGTTATGATCTTGTATGTGAGGGAGAGCAAATCCCTGCAAACAGGTTCAACATCTGCTAGAAAGTGTTCCCTGAAGATTGACTGTAAGGTTAAAGTGTGGTAGGAAAAGGTGCAAGCAACAGGGATGACCACAGCCATGAGAGGATTGTCAAGCAAAGCCGATTCAAGAACTTGGTGGAGCTTCACAAGGAGTGGACTGAGGCTGGAGTCAATGCATCAAGAGCCACCACACACTGACGTGTCCCGGAAATGAGCTACAAGTGTTTCCTTCCTGCATTCGTGTTTCCTTCCTGCATTCCTAGTGTCAGTCCACCCCTGAACCAGAGACAAAATCAGAGGCGTCTTACCTGGGCTAAGGAGAGAATGAACTGGACCGTTGCTCAGTGATCCAAAGTCCTCTTTTTTTTTAGATGAAAGTAAAATTTGCATTTCATTTGGGAATCAAGGTCCCAGAGTCTGGAGGACGATGAGTGGAGAGGCACAGAATCCAAATTGCTTGAAGTCCAGTGTGAAGTTTCCACAGTTAGTGGTGATGTAGGGTGCCATGTCATCTGCTGGTGTTGGCCCACTGTGTTTTATCAAGTCCAGAGTCAATGCAGCGTCTACCAGGAGATTTTAGAGCATTTCATGCTTCCGTCGGCTGACAAACATTATGGAGATGCTGATTTTCTTTTCCAACAGGACTTGGCACCTGTTAACAGTGCCAAAACCACCAGTAACTGGTTTGTTGACCAGGGTATTACTGTAGGGCGGCGCGGTGGTACAGTGGTTAGCACTGTCGCCTCACAGCAAGAAGGATGGGTTCAAACCCCGGTTGCCCGGCCTTTCTGTGTGGAGTTTGCATGTTCTCCCCCGTGTCCGCGTGGGTTCTCTCCGGGTGCTCCGGCTTGCACCATCCAAAGACATGCAGGCTAGGGTAATTGGTGTCTCCAAAATTGTCCTTAAGTGTGGATGTGAGTGTGACTGGTTGTCTGTCAATGTGTGGGCCTGCGATGGACTGGCGACCTGTCCAGGGTGTACCCCACCTTTCGCCGGATGTCAGCAGGGATTGGCTCCAGCCCCCCCGCGACCCTGTACGCAGGATAAGCAGTTGACGATGGATGGCGTTACTGTATTTGATAGGCCAGCCAACTCGCCTGACCTGAACCCCATAGACTGTCTATGGGGTGTTGTCAAGAGGAAAGTGAGAGACACCAGACCAATAATAATTTCACTTTATGAATTAAATTACTTTTTCACTATATATATATAAATGCACATGTATCACCAATAAACTAACCCAAAGTGCATAAAATGAAGATCAAATATACATAAAATATTATGCAAAGAAAACATTTTTTGCTGGAGTTTTTTGCTGAATTTCATTTTGCACATTAGACGGTGAAGGTGAATATGATGCTTATGATGCATTAAACACTGATCATATGTAAATAGTGTGAGGGTGAAGTATTTGACCTCCTAATAATAGATAACATTTCTGTTCCAATGTGGGAATTCATGACATGCAAAGGTGTTGAAGGACTCAGTCTGTAAGTGGGCCACTGTGCAGGATGTGCTTTACAACAGAGTAAGAGAGGATGTTGTGGTTGAGACCAGCTCAAACCAGCTGCAGGTTGTAAAGAAGCAGCAGACAGATCTATAGCAAATTTGATCACAACTGCTTCGCGTTTTAGGACAAACAAACTCTCAAGTATCACACATCGAAAGCCTTGGTACAAAGACTGCTAATAATACTGCCCACACTGTTATTTAAATTGTATCCTAAACTGCCTCCTGCGGCCTTGTGCAGTCTGATGTGTAAAGTACACTGATAACGCTGCTGTTGTAAGGATCTGTTCTGTTCAACCGTTCTGTATCTAATTCAGCAAGCAGAAAGTTTTTCCTGTCCATCTCCTTTGACTTTCAAATGAGTGCCCATGTGGGTTTTGCATAGTATTATTATTAAACTCAAATCCAGAGCATGACAGAAACCTACAGCATTTCCAATGCAATGCAATTCATCTCTTACTTCTGCAGATAAAGAATGGGAACAAATTTACAGGCAAAAGAGAGCAAACCTAAATAGTCTGGGAATGCGAGGATAGCAAAGGTACAAAGGAAGTGAGATTTAGAAGTGTAACAGAATAAAGGGAACCCATGAGCATTTGTGGTCAATGAATGAAGAAGTGAAAGACATGCCAAGCCAAAATGAAAGTATGACGCAGATAACAAGATTGAATGGCTGAAAAGGAATGAGATACTAATACTAGTTACCATTGCATGTGGCAACAGATACTAGAGAGAGATGGCTCAATCCAGTTAGCTTTGAGTGTCAATGAAGCGGTTATGTGATCCTCTTCTTGAGGCAGAGAATCACAGCTTCTTGCATTCTTCACCGCCTCTGTACAGGTCCAATTTGTTTTATATCTAACATTATAGGAGAAGGGACAATTAAATTGTTTATGTATTTAAGTTTTATATCTCATCTTTACCTCTCCGGGAACCATCACCTTACTGTGATGGAGAGGTTTGCGTGCCCCTCTGAGCCCAGGCTGTGTTGTCTGGAGCCTAGTGCTCCTGGTAGGGTCTCTCATGGCAAAGTGATTCTAGATGAGGGGCCAGACTGAGAATGGTTCACAAAGACCCTAATGGAAAATCAAGGAAAAGGAGGAGGGACCCTTCCCGGAGGAAGCCCGAGGCCCCCGTCTGGAGCCAGGCCCAGAGGGAGCGCCTGGTGGCTGGGTCTGCCACGGAGCCTTTGGACCCACCATCCACAGGAAGATCCGCAGGGGTCGGGTGTGCTGCCACATGGGTGTTGGGGAAGGTCAGAGGCCTCGATGGACCAGACCCGGGCGGCAGAGGCTGGCTCTGGGGACGTGGAACGTCACCTCTCTTTGGGGGAAGGAGCCGGAACTTGTGTGGTAGGTGGAACGCTACTAGTTAGATCTGGTGGGGCTGACCTCCACGCACAGCCTCGGTTCTGGAACCGTACTCCTTGGTACGGGATGGACCCTATTCTTCTCTGGAGTTGCCCAGGGCGTGAGGCGCTGGGCGGGTGTTGGGATACTCACAAGCCCCCGGCTGAGCGCCGCTACGTTGGAGTTTACTCCGGTGGACGAGAGGGTCACCTCCCCACGCCTTCGGGTTGTGGGGGGGGGGGCGGACTCTGACTGTTGTTTGTGTATATGCACCAAATAGCAGTTCAGAGTATTCAGCCTTCTTGGAGACCTTGAAAGGAGTTCTCTATGGGGCTCCAGCAGGGGACTCCATAGTTCTGCTGGGAGACTTCAACGCGCACGTGGGCAGTGATGGAGATACCTGGAGAAGCGTGATTGGGAGGAACGGCCCCTCTGATCTGAACCCGAGAGGGTGTTTGTTGTTAGACTTCTGTGCTAGTCATGGACTGTCTATAACGAACACCATGTTCGAACATAAGGATGCTCATGAGTGTACGTGGTACCAGAGCACCCTAGGCTGAAGATCGATGATCAATTTTGTAGTCGTTTCATCTGATTTGAGGCTGCATGTTTCGGACACTCGGGTGAGAGAGGCGGAGCTGTCAACTGATCACCATCTGGTGGTGAGTTGGGTCAGGGGGTGGGGGCCATGGTAAAGAAAAGTTTGGGGTCCCAGGTTGGAGCTGCTGCCCCCGTGACCCAACCCCGGATAACTGGATAAAGATGGATGGATCTTATCTTTAGCTCTTTTTTGTGAGACGAATATACTTTTTTTCCTCCTATATTTCAGTGGGAAACATAACTGAATGCCAGAAAAAGAGTTTATGGCTTGTGGCCCTTTAAATAAAAGCAAAATCAACTTGCTACGCTATGTCACTGGTTGCATATGTTAACAATGGAGAAAAGTAAGTTTAAGTGTATTTTTACACTGTGGTACTGCTACTTTTACTGAAGTAAAAGATTTGAGTACTTCTTCCACCGCTGCTACTGGTTGTTACCAATTCCACCAAAATGTGATTTTTGTCTTTTTTGATTTGAATATTTTTAAAAGCCTGAAGAGGTAAAATTGAGATCAAACATGTTTTAAAAGGAAAAAAAGGACATTGACAGACGTTTCTATTATGTTGTCTGCCCCATCTAAATCAATTAGGGTAGGCTAAATAGCAGAAACCTGTCTGTATAACACAAACTACAAATAACACAAGCTAATCCTGCAAATGATGAAAATTTTATCAACATCTCTTTAACACAGTTTCAACAAAAACTGAACATTGAACTTCATGAAGGGAGGGTTTATTGCAGGAGTGTTGAATCAGATTTCATTAGTTTTAGCTAGATGTTCCTAAAAAACTGGCACCTTATAAAGGTGATTTGAATAACTTGCTAACAACCAGTTGATTATTTAGATATTCAGCAGTTACACATTCATTCAGTCATGTTTCCGCACACGTGAATAAATCCAAAAGTCACTCTCTTTAAGCTCAGTTTTTGGTCTCCACCAACTCCTGAGGTAAATATCTGGCTCTTTAGCTGCCGATTGCTCCACAGTGTTCACCAGCTAGTCACTAACTTGTCTGTCTGCTGTTTGTTGCTGGGCAGGGGGCATACAGTGGGTTTATCAGCTTAAAGATGCTAAAGTGCTTTGTAGAACTAAAGGGAAATGCAGATTTGGGTGAT